ACTTCTGCGGCGCCACCTACTGAAATGCGTGTATCAAAAATGGCGCGCAATGTAAATCAGTCAGTTATGTATTATTGGTATTTTAACTTGCCTATTACCGCTATTAATACGATTTCAGTGGTGGATATTAAATCGTATAAAAAAAATTAATTATAGGGCCAGACCAGATACCAAGTTTTTAGTTGCAGATCCCATTATACCATTGTTTCAGTCCTTAGTGCCAATCTATAACTTAATTATTATCTTTTCCAGAAACTTGGAAACTAGAGTTTCACCAATTTTGAGAAAGGTAGCTCAGCTCAAATGAATAACTATAGGTCTATCTCGGAATCTTGTAATTTTGCAAACTTGTTTCAAATTATACTTTACATATTCATTTTGGTCGCGACGAGGGAAACATTGTCGATCAATCAGGCTTCGTTCATCATAAAAATCATATGTCACTAACCTCGCTTGCCTGATAAACTATTTGCGAAACTTTGGACGATAGAGGACAGGTTGATGTTGTTTATATCGACATGGAAAAGGCATTTGATAGAGTAAATTTAGGCATCCTACTAAAAAAACTGAGTTTGGATTCTCTGATGATCTTCTATGACTGTTTCTCTCTTATCTTTTGAATAGGAAACAATGTATTGAATATAAGAGATGCCGTTCACCGCTCATAAGGCCTACTTCAGGAATTCCCCAAGGCTCAAGTCTAGGACCTTTACTCTTTCTATTATACAAATATGATCTAACTCTAGACTTGCTTTGTTCAAAATTATTGTATGTAGACGACATGTAACTATATTACTCAGTAAAAACTATCGATGACTGCCTTATCTTGCAGCAAGATATAATGGCAGTATCTTTATGGTCCCAAATCAATTATCTCAATGTAAATGCTGACAAGTGTTTCACAAGAAAACAGAATATTTTAATTTTTGAATATTGCATTGGAAACGTTAGCCTTAAGCGTCAAGAGCAAGTTGATGATTTAGGAATTCTCTTCGATCAACAAATGTTTTTTCTGCCCTTATAGATACCACTGTTTCGTTAGCTAATAAGCTGATGGGGTTCATCAAGAGGAACGACCCACCTTAGGATCGAGCGTCTTCAGAAACTATTTTTGAAATACGAGTATCTCAAGTACGGGCGTATTTTCTGAGCAAGGATTTGATTACTCTTTGCTTGTTAATGAAGCAAAATTTGTTTCTCTGATTGCAAGGCATATTTTTTCAACAACAGCCTTTTTGAATTAACTGGTTCATGGGAATATAGTTTGTGAAATTCCCCTTCGGTGCCCAGCATAACAATATAAATTCTCTAGTGTTTTATTGTGATTGTACTAGAACTAATATTTTGACTGAATCACCTGTTCGAATCATTTGTACCAATTTCAAATTAGTAGGTATCATCTGTGACATTAATGTCACTCCTGTCGCGTCCGTTTACAAATCTATAATCTATTCTGTACAACACATTTAACATGTAACTTTTTTGGGTATTTTTTGTTTTTTTTTATTCAGTTGCTTATTTTCATACAACAGTATTTGTTTTTTATTTTAATTCAATCATTAAATGTTACTGAGTGCGTACGTGTCTGTTGGAAAATAAATATATATCTATCTAAGTATTCTGTCTCCCTGGCCTACGGCTCGTACACGTGTCGGTACATTTTCACACCGCCTCCTCAACCATGGTAAAGCGGTGGCACGCGACCCGACGATGCAGGTTAGCAGCCCCTGCTTGAAAACCGAACAGCAGCTACCCCCAACCATCGAACCATCCCTAGCGCCGGCCAAGCACTTCCGCGTAGGTCACCGGACAGACAGACCAGGGAACATCCACTATCGAAGAAGCAACCCCACGAGTGTACGACCCGGTACTCGGTATCACCGTTCAACGAAGCTTCCGCGACGCGCGCGAGGTACCACGACACGCGCCGCAGGTGAATTCAGATCAGATATTTGATATCACTGATGACAGGATTTTTTTATCGAGATGCTGATGTGATTCTAGTGCTGGTAAAGGTTCGATACGGTGCTGGATCGGAGAAGGTAGGTAAGGTTCTAGTAGGTAAGCATTCATGACAAGTTTTATTTTCTTTAGATCAATGAGAAACCGCTAACACAAAATGTTTGAGGACCGATTGAAGGTCAATTTCTTGGCGGCCCTTCTGGCTTTAGACGGACATGTCTGGCTTTTTTCGGCTCTGTCCAGCCAAATTTTTATGTCTCCGATCTGTGCCTTTGTTAGGCTTTTCATTGCAAAATAAAGAGTTGTTTTTTTTTTGTTCAATTTTTCGGAAGGAGTGCTATACTGCCATGCTCAGGCAAAAGGCAGTAAAGTGTAAAAACCGAAGTCTTTGTACATTGAGATAAAAAATCTTGATTTTCTCGAACTACGTAAATAATATCATTACGATACAACAAAAGTGAATGAGTATTGCTGCAGATCATAATAAATTGTTGTCGAGTCCTAAAATAAATGACGTTCCGACTGTGATTGCCGTAAATCAAAAAACAGTGACATGTGATTTACTGCTTTTATATTGTGCAAAAGCAGATTTTTCATATTATATTTTTATTACTCGTTCAAAGGAAAAACCCAGCAATGCTAAACTTTATTTTACTTTAATATAATTTATTCATATTGAAATTCAGATAAATAGATCAAGAGTGAATGTTTTCAACATATATAATAATTCAATTTAATAGCTATCCAATAAGTACCACGACAAACTTGAGTAGAAGGTAGTCTTTGGACTAACCTCGCAAATAACAAAAGCTTACCTATATAAAAGTGGTTATTGAGATATTGAATTTTTTCTTAAATTTATAAAACGAACCCTTTCATCTGTGGACTTTAGGTGCATGTACAAGTAAGGGTATACTTTGTTCATTTTTTCTAAAAAATACTTCTAGATAGTAGCTTTATCATATACAAATGCAATGTGGTTAAAAGGTATTAAGGAATTATGATCAAATAAGGACTATTTTGGGATTTATAACCTTCTGATATTTTTTCCTCGAATACACATTCGCAGACAAAAAAGGCAATTTTTTCAAATAAACTGACAATTTGAATTATTTTATTATTCATTGACAGTGGAAAAAGGTTGAATAGATAAAGTTGCTTTCAACTATAATTATTATTAAGTGAATTTTTGACGAGATCTAATGAACTAATAGGTTTTCAATGCTAAAAATGCGGTAGCGTAGACAGTATGGTAGCTTTTAAACAAAAATCAAAGGTTTGTGAATATAATTATGAAATTATAATACGAAAATTTGCCATTATATTCCCTAATTACGGATTTCCCCTCAAAAAATAACAATGAGCTTAGAAACATAGGTATTAAAAACTCATGAAATAGACATATAGGAGTTATCATGGATGGTTCTAAAACTGACTATGGTATAGGAAGCGCTTTCTATGTACCAAAACATGACTTCAGTAGTCATTAAGCATTAGAACATATCAATCCTAAAATAAAACAAATATTACAAGATTTCAAAAACAGTGGAAAACATATTACATGCATCTAGGTTAAGGTACATAATGGGATATTGGACAAACCTAAAAGCCGACCTTGCAGCAAAATGGGCTAGTAGATTGTCAACCTGCAGCCAACGGGTGCTTCATTAGAGGGACATTTATAATTATTGCAAATATCGTATGACCAAAGAGTTGGGATTATTGTGGAACAATACGGTCAAGGAACATAAATGTTCATATTTCGTCCTATTCCCTATCTTACCCAAAAACATACCACACATTAACAGGTATACCTATAATAAGAGCTGTAGCGCGATCATATCCAGGCTTAATGTCGGACACTGTCTATTCCCAGCCCACCTATACAGGATTGGACTGGCAGAAAATTCAACCTGCAATTACCACCCAACAAAATTTGAAGATCTAAATCACATATACGAGTAGTATTCTTCGAGTGCAGCAATAATGCTCATGCCAAGCAAATCTAACTGAATATGTTAATAAATAATAAACACCAAATACCCGTAAATATAACTTCTCCATTGGCCGGTGAAGACAAAGGTACACTAGACGGTATCTTGGAATTTTTAAAGAGAATTATAAGCTATAAATGGCAAAAATTTGTAAAAGTATTTCAATTGTTCTTAAATTCGTTGACTAAGATTACGTGTATTCTACTCCCCTATAAGCGATATTTTCGACAAAAGTTCTCGCGAGTACAGAATTTTCGAAACCTTCGGTACTCACCTTTGGCCCATTTTGACCCAATGTTGGCCGAAGGTGTATTTTTTGGTGGAATGTGCGTCAAAACATTCACAAAAAAAAATTGAAAAAATGCTGCACTTGCTTCTTATTTTTTTCAGTAAGTAGGTAGCGATCTATGGATCAAAATGAATTGCTCTTGGAATATGTTCACGTTGAAATTATACGAGTTAATGTTCTACATACACAGTGAAAAAGTTGAAAGAATAGTTTGTCTTCAATAACGCTTCACAAAGAATTCATACAAACTTCGTTCACATGGCAGAGTTATAAGATGTATTAAAAAAGTCGGGTTAAAAAAGTAGACTCGTAGTTTTCAATTTAATATTCAGGCATTTAACAATAAATTAAGAAATAATAATCCCCCAGAAGAGAATAAAAATGGAAATTTTTGAATAACAACTGGTACTATATTGGTTTAATGCTTTGTAGCTATTGTTTGTACTTTCAACATTTGTCTCTATGACCTAATAAAGTTAAGAGAATACAATTTTTTGTTGTACATATGAGGAAAAAAGCTATTTCTCAATGACGCATTGTGGTGAATTGTGTTGAATTTTTCAGAGTTTAGATTTGATATACAACTTTGGGCAGCCGATAAGGACCTACGCTTCTACATCGGTTGAAAATTCTTCTACGGTACATCTTAGAACATAAAAGTCCAAAATTTTTAACAAAAGTCATCCGATTTGGGAACACTATCCAAAGACAATAATTTTTATCGAATTGATTCCAAAATCAAATAATTTTTCTTGCAGATGCATTGTCCACCATAAACCTTCGCCACACCCGGAATGAACATAATGAAAGCTTCCTTCTACGACGCCTACTCCGACAACATCTCTTCCAGCACCCAGGCCCTAGAAGCGTCTGCCCTATCAAGGACCATTTCTACCGTCCACCATGATTACTACCCCTTTCTGGGCGGGCTTCGTCATTCTACCACGCCAACTCCCATACCCTATGACATCTATGACGTCAACACATATGACAGTTACGTCAGTACGTCTAGTGATGTAGATGGACCGACGACGGTGGGTGATGTTGCTGGGTACAACGCTACGGGGTCTTTTAGGTAAGAAATAAATGGTCTAAGAAATAAAGCAGAAATTAATACTTTCAGATATTCCACTTCATGTCTTGTCTTGAGTGCACAAGCTCTCTACAGTGTTTCAGAAAGACGTACCAATATTTCTAGGCTATATAGTCCATCCAAAAATAATAAAAAAGTCCCTATAAATATGAGTATAAAGATGCTCCCCTACCGAGATACAGGGTGATGAAGTTTTATTTACGAAATTAAAAAAAATATATTTACGGAGCGGGTAAATCTACGGAGTTAGGATATAATTTACACACACATAGTTTCCCGGCCCAAACTAAGTCAGGGACGTAGAAACTGGGTAAGCTGGACCCCAGGAGGTAATATTTCTATACAAATGGGCTTTTTACAAAAAAAATGTGCATTTTATAAAATTCCAATTCAATTTTCCATAAATTTTGTCACATAAGGATTTTTTGTCAGATCACTCGTTTTGGGGATATTTAGGTAAAATCCTAGAATATTCTTATAAAAGGTTTAGCCTCCCCTATCCGAAAACACCGTGGCGCCTCATTACAACACTAATTGATTAATATGTGTGTCTTCATTAAACCTTGTCTATGCACACCACTGGTTGCCATTGTACACGTTTCCTGCTATTACCCATAGTAGATGCTTCTGTTTGACTAAAATCACATCTAGTAATTAATCAAATCCAAGCGAATAACCAAAATTTCTCTGTTATGTATCGTGGTTATATACTAAGTGACATATAAATCCGAACACGCAGTTTACATGGTTTTATTTTAATAAAATTTTGTATAGGTACTTAATGAAGCATAATAAGTAAATGATAAAAATTTCAAAATGATTGCACTGCTTTAAAGCCCTTTGACCTTTAATAATGTGTGGATGCACCCTGATGTGCTACGCATTCTCCAACGCGCCTAGGCATGCTTCTGATCAGGTGGTCAATGTCCTCCTGTGGTATCTCATTCCAGGCAACCACCAACTCCTCTCGAAGTGCTTCTAGAGTCTGAGGAGGACGTTGCAAATTGAGCAATCTCCTACCCATCATATCCCACACGTGCTCAATTGGGGATAAGTCGGGAGATCTTGGTGGCCATGGTAACAATGTGACATCATTATGTTGAAAGAAGTCTATTGTGACTCTTGCAACATGTGGTCGGGCATTATCTTGTTGGAAAGTTGGATCTGCCAGGGTGTCAAGATAGGGTAAAAGATGGGGTTCTAGAACTTCGTGGATATAACGCTGCGCGTTCATGTTACCTCTGATGAAGATTAAAGGTGACCTGGAACCATAAGCTATAGCACCCCAAACCATAACTCCAACAGTCTTTCAACAAAAAACTGTGGATTCCTCCTTTCACCACGTCGCCTTCTAACCCTGGCACGACCATCGTGCATGCCTAAACAAAATCGAGACTCGTCACTAAAGACAATACTGTTCCATTCCTGATCCCAGAGTGACCATTGTCTGCACCACTCGAGGCGATTACGCCGGTGTTCTCGAGTTAAAGGGAGGACCCAGTGTGGCCGGTATGAAAACAAGCCAAAACTTCTCATTCGTCGGTAAACACTTCGCATGCCAATAGGTCTTCCGTGTTCTGCAAACCATTCATTTGCAATGGACCTGGTAGTGGAGAAACGGTCCCTTATATATAATCTTAGGCGGCGATCTACACGGTCTGTTGTTCTACGGCGGCGTCCAGTGCCCCTTGCTCTTTGCGTACGGCCTTCTCGAAGCCATGCCTGACAACACCTAACCACAGTGTCTACACTTCTTTGCACTCTAACTGCAATTGCCCGAAAAGAAAGTCCAGCTTCCCGAAGTCCCACTATAGGGCCCCTATCAAACTCACTAAGTTGACGAAATCGTACAGGTCTCCGTACTCTAGGCATCGTAACCGATCAACCGATCGTAAAGGATGTCAAGAACCAAAATCCGCCAACGTTGATTCTTTACTGCGGCTGAAATATTCATTTTTAGAGCGTTACTGAATTAAAAAAAGCAGTATAAAAACCGGAATGTCCAACTGATAAGGCTGAAAATTTTTTCACTTGTTATTTACAGTAAGATAAATACATTTACCAACTTTTATTAAAATAAAACCATTTAAACTGGGTGTTCGGATTTATATGTCACTTAGTATATATAACTTCTGATTATTTTTATTATCACTTAATAATCGGTGCTTTTTCGTCTATAACGGTGTATGGAAAGTTTAAAAAAGAAACCTTTCATAATATTAATGGGAGATATATTTTTTTTCAGAAAAAAATGTTTAATGATGGAGCCATGGCTTTGTAGCTATGATAACTTTCAATTCTCTAAAATTTTCCGCATGTCAAATAAAACATTTATTGATTTAGCAGAAATGGTAGGAAAAAGCAATGAAAAAAAGATATTAGCTAGCAGAACCGCATACAGGTGGACATCATCCAGTGAGTTTATATGGCCATATTTTGATGTTCTTATGGTATATGGCTACACAGGATACTTTGTTAAGCATAGGAACTAGATATAAAGTTTCCCCAACAACAGTAATGATTATAGCTAATAAGGTGCTCTACTTTATGCAAAAACTGAAGTCAGACTGTATCAAGTTTCCCAAAAATGAAGCTGAAGTACAATAAAAATATCCAATACCCGGCAAAATTCTAACTTGTCACATGTCAAATAATAACCAGAAATATAAAACTACGCCTGAGTTGGGTAAATACCACAATTTTGCGGTGATAACTATGACATATAACAGCTGATTCAACGGATCGGTAAATACCAATCCAAAATGGTAAATACCATTTTCATTTGGTTATCCGCTTGTATTTGATTATTGTGGAACCAATCAAATTGAGTATAATTCTTATTGTTTCACTTCTTTAGCATCTCGGATTAAGTGAGCTCAAAAAATTGTTGGCAACTTCGGACACGAAGTATGAGTACCAAATAACAAACGGCTTTCAACACGGTTCGTACTACGCCAGGTATTTTCCAAATGGATAGAGAACCTTTGTACACGGGCTTGTGTTGAATCCACTTTCAACATCTTTAGGTTGGATGTTATAGCATTTATTCAGCATTCTTTTTTGTTCCCAATGTTATGTCCTCATTCATTTAGAAATAACCACGTAATTTTTATCAAATGTGCTGTTTATTGTTGTGGTGTTTAATTCTTACGAGCTCTTATTTATTTTTAAAGAAATATTTTTTAGATTTGAAGCTTCTTCGTCTATAAACAAAAATGAATATTCCGCCAAAACCAGTGGCGTGCACAGGAAAGGTTTAATAAATAACTTCTACGCTACTGATTGAGGATAAGACATGCATATTATTCAATTAATGTTGTAATGAGGTGCATAAGTTTCTTGTTTCCAATATCAAGGTGTTTTCAGATTAGAAAAGGCTAAACCTTTTCATAAGGATATTTTAGAATTCTACCTCAAACATTCAAACCTAAATATCTCCAAAACAAGTGATCTGACAAAAATTCCTTGAGGCACAAAGCTTAGGGAATATTGAATTATGTTTTATAAGATGCACATATTTTCTCCGAAAAAGCCAGTGGCGTAGAAAATATTTCCTATTAGTAATCCAGGTACCCCAGTTTCTAAGTCGCTGGTTTAGTTTGAGCCGGAAAACTTTGTGCGTTTATTGCTTATGTTGTGCTCACTGAACTTCTGAAATCTCATCACAGTATATATGTCGGCGCCAAACGCTGAAATCCGTCATTCCCTGAAAGGCCTAGTCAGTTCCCGTATTGCCGGCAAACACCGTAACACTTTGATTATTACAACGCTTGACTAAGCACTTCAATCAATCATTTCCTGTAATGACTGAACAATTGCAGTCGAACACCGTAACAACCACATTAACTTCGTTACTGCACTTGCCTGATTCAGTCGTTCATTTTACCAGTTTTATATTAATTTGCTTGAGTATACACATCGTCTTTTCTGTGTTTGTAAAGATGTCACAGCATTCAGAATTGTTTTACAAGCAACTAAGTGTATTTGGTACATTAATACCCGGTTTTACTGAGCCGGGTCACAAATTCAACCAATGAGAAGGAGTCTTTGAAGTAATGGATTTAATGAATGGTTGATTTCTTCTAAATTGACCCTGAAACAATCATACGATTTGTGTAAAATAGGCCCCTAATGCCCATATGAAATTAAGAAATACGTCGTAAATCACTTGATTTAACTAGAAAAACTTATTTTTATGCCCTTTGAACTAACCCTGTATATTGCTCAATAAACTAGTAGTGATGGCCGGAAAACAGGTGCTTTAGGAAACACAATTAGAAATTCTCAAAAACTACTTGACCAATATACTCTAATTTTGTTGTGATTATTTAGAAGTACGAATCCTACGGCTTTGAAGAATTTCAAATATCTGCGAGAAACCATCGTCGCATTACCAACAAGTGCCAAAACCTGCAGTTTGCCTTGGTTTTCTGCCATCACTTTTTTGCTATTAGCCGGATCTTTTTACATATGGTATCATTTTGTAGGTCGCATAAATACCTAAAATTCTTATATGAAGTGTTTTTTCGTTCCTGACAACACTTTCGATTGAATCCCAAATGACACGTTTTCTCATTCTTTGTTGTCGAATAAAAAGTTTTCCCACAAAAATTGGGGTACCCATTTTATGCGTCCATGTTTTGAATAGGCCCTTGAACAACTTGCAGCAATAAAACCAGACTTTACAATTATTTCGCAAACCAGGGGTATTTTCGTCTAATATAATTAGACTAAATATCGTAGCACATCTGCTCAGTTACTCACAAATACGAAATGTTTGAGTTTGTTCACAAGAAAAAAACGCAACCCTTTGTTTTTTGCATAAAAATAACATTTATCTTTCGGAATGGTTTGTGATTCATAGCGGCAAGGTAAAATTCTGTATGTTGCTAACTAAAAGTAATGGCCGGAAAACAGGTGTTTTGGGATAAGCAATTAGAAATTCTCAAAAACTACTGGACCAATCTACTCTAATTTTGTAGTGGTTATTTAGAAGTTTGATGCGTACTAATCTGAAAAATTTGAAGTATCTACGTGAAACTATCTCGCATTACCAAATGCCAAAACCTGTATTTTGCTTTGGATTTTTTGCTATTGGTCGTGCTCATTTTGTAGGTCTCGTAAATACCTAAAAGTCCTATTTGAAGAGTTTTTTCGTTCCTGTCAACACTTTCGATTGAATCCCAAAAAACGCGTTTTCTCATTCTTTGTTGTCGAATAAAAAGTTTTCCCACAAAAATTGGTGTACCAATTTTATGCGTCCATGTTTTAAATACCCCCTTGAACAACTTGCGTCAATAAGATCAAACTTTACAATTATTTCGGAGAAATTTGCTAATATGATTAGACTATAACAAGTATGTATATACATGAGGCTTGTTTCAGAAAAAAATCGAAGGTCTCTATTGTGAACTTGTATATGATTCCAGCTTCATCTCTCTGAAACGAAGCAGCCAATTTAGCGAATCGGCTGCTGACCACTGCGTCGCCGGCAAGAAGACAACAGGAGCGACCATACTCAATCAAGTAGGAAAAAATAGCAGCAGCAGTACCCGAGGTAAGGCGATGGAACTAGAACTGCCTGCGTTACGCACCATGTCAGGCTGATATTTATATGCCTGCTTCTTTGCCGCGCTGATGTGCGGCCGTGCGCTAGCTGCACTTTGGTTATTACCTTGTTTGTTTTTTGCTGAGTCGCAGCTTATTGGTTGTTTAGAGTTATTACCGGCGGCATAAAGAAGTCTGTATACATCCTAGAATTTCCCCAAGATAGGTACAAGGTGTTGCAAATTTCTACTTCACAGACGACATTGCTTGGGAGTAAAACATGATTCAGTCAAATAACGTCATGTCCAGTAGGTAGGTAATGGGAGTATGGTACCTATATTATGAAAAAATCATTTTGGAACTCTGACAGTACCTTAGACGTATTGGCTCTACCAGCTATCCATAACAATGGAAGGCGCTATCAAAAAAGTTATGGCATAAAATAGCGAGGTTAGAGCATAACTAGTGCCTTCTACAGGATCTGTTGCAGGACAGAAACCTCTCTATTTCAATGTTTAAGTTGATATTACAGAAACAGCTTGTGCTATAACAAAAAAACGATGTTGAAAATAAACATCGACACCCTGTAACTCATGAACGAGCGACATCTTACCAAGACATATTTGGCTCAATATCGTTATTTTCAAGAGTTTAATCTTAGATTGCTTCTTGAGGTTCTCCCTGTATGAGTGCGTATGTGTCCTAGATATAACAACGGTAGAAAGGCCGAGAATCTCTTCATATTTAAAGTTATGGTGAATGATCCATGTATACAGTCCCTGGGTCAGTATAGCCGAATTATGGCTGTTAATGCAGGATCTATGGCGTCTTCCAGTAATTCTAAATACATTTCACCGGTCAAATTTCCAGGCAAGAAAAAAGGACCAACTAAATGGTCGCCAAAAATACCAGGCCAAACATTTAATTTTTGTGGCTGCTATGTATGAACCTCATGATAAATTCTGGGATTACAATCGGACCAATATCGGCAGATATGACGATTTACTACGCCATTTAAGAAAAAGGAACATTCGTCGGAAAAGCAAGTGTTGAATAGAAAATGTTCATCGTTTATAATTCGTTCACTCATATCTTCACAAAATTGTAATCGCCGATCAAAATCGTCTTCATTAAGTTCTTGTACGAGGTGAATTTTATACGGATGAAAACTATGGGCATTTAGAATCCGTGGGACATTACGTCGACTAACACCACACACAGTCTCCAATTTGAGGGTACTTAACGTAGGATCTACATAAACTTGCCCTAAAACCCCCACTTCTATTGCTTCGTTCCTTATGGGATTTTCAATGTTGCGTTTTTTTATTGGCGACTGACTCAGTTTCCCGAAATTTAGCTACCAGTTCTAAAACATATTTTCGATGCACGTTACTGTTCCCATGTCGCTCATTAAATATTTCTGCTGTTCTATTAGCGCACTGATTATTTCCGAAAAATATTTCGAAAATTTCAACTCTTTTTGCTGTGGAATATACCATGGTTAATTTAGGTAATAAAGCATTACAAGTTATTTTAACAACAAAGTTTGGTCAAATCAATCGCAAACTATCTACTAAATTCCTATTTAAAATAAGTATGAGATATTTCCTTATCTTTCTTTAAGAAATAACTTTTTTGCCACAAAAAAAAAACGCTCCAATAGCTATTTTCAACAACAAAATGATAAACAAACCATGGGCGTAGTGAAGAAAAGCATTTACTTATTAAGTAAATTCTTTTAGTCAAATTTCTTCTGAAATTAGTAGAAACTAATCTGATGTACCTTAAAGTCTACTTTAAGCTTTAAATCAATAAATCTTCAAAACTACTGAACTAAAGTACATTAATTGTATATCATTATAAAGGGAATTGAAAGACCTTTAAAATAAGGTATCACTCGACCCCCCTTTCCATTTAAGATTTTGGGGGTGGTGTCACCCCCGCTTAGAGGGCTGCACGTGCTAACGTGATTTTTTGCCAAACTTGAGTCCCCCTCGAAAACAAAATCGACGGGTCTGAGCGATTTTAAAAAAAACTGAGCTGCCAGTAAATGCGTCTGTTTCGTTTTCGATGCGCCACCCTGTATGTATATCTTAATCACCAAAATTTTAAATACTCAACTTCTCTAATTAATAATGACTTAAACGCAATCTCAGATAGTGCAAAGCACAACGGTCTGAAACAACGCTGAAAAAAGTAGAATTATCCTTTTCAGCTCAAAATGGAAAATAATCTACTAAAGAAATAGTAAGCAGCTTTTTATCGAAACAAAAACAAATTAAAGCTTAGTGGTTCAGTCAATTCTCTAGAAACTGATATTTATTATTACGGCTTATAGATGCAAACAAATGCATTGTGACAAAACCTATTAAAAAAGCCTAAGGCGAAGGTTTTTTTAATATCGAAAATTCTATATTGTATTACACTTTATTTTACATGTTGAAATTAAACCACTGCTAAACGACTACAAAAAATTAACAATAATTATTGCTGTCTGATGAATAATTTAAAAAATATTACCATACTTCAAGAAGAATTGATAGTGTGGGCTGGTTATAAGCCGTTGGGCTTTTCCAATATTATTTATTCACTCTTCTACACAAAATTGAAAATAATGAAAAGCTATTATATTTGAAAAATAAACTAACAATAAATATAATTTCATCCAATATGTATCAGATCGCCGCATTTATTCATCATGCCACACCACAAGACAGCTTTATTTAACCGATCTTACAAATTTAACGCAGCTACTCTGTACGTCCCATTGGCGTTAAATAGGTTTAAATATTATTTAAAAGATCACCTCCTGCATAAATAAGTGTATTTTTCCAAATTTAAATATATTCACATAATGGTACTAAGGGCCCATGATTCTACTTCCCAATATCCTACACCACACAAAAACCTTCCATAGACCTTAATGTTGCTTTCTGCGGCTCCAGTAATGCACGTTACGCAAATTCAAATTTTCGTTGCTTATGAATGTAACTTCGTCAGTCCATAAAATATTTGAAGCTATTTTGGATTATCGGCAAGCATGCCTTAAAATCAGTGACAGTAGTTGAGTCTACAGCCAAAGTAGTTACTAGTTTTACACGTTTGATTGAACATTTGATGGTCTCTCAGTATTCGTCTAACAGTTGTCCTAGATATGCCTCTAGTGCTGAAATGGTGACTATTCACGTAGCCTAACACAGGTATTACGTTTTCCACGCTTTTTTTCCGGCAATAGTGGTTACTCCTCAATCGCTGAGCAAGTCTGGAAAATACTCGCCCATCGTAGCAACGCATGTGCGGATATCGTACAGCATAAACCCTATCAACAACATTTGCATTTTGCATGCACTCAAAATACACACCAAGCATGTCAAAACCTGCTTCGTTCCCAAGCGGCATTTTGAAAATATTAAAATCTTGCGAATGACGCGACCTCAAGGGTTTTGGCATTTGCGCTAATTTATTTTTGATTATCCTTCTTTTGTTTCTATTCTAAAATGTCATGGTATCGCACACCAGATTATATTAATACGCTCTTTTACACGAAGTAGCCCCTATAATATTACATCTCACAATTCGCACCCTTAGTGGATCTAAATAACACAAAAAGGTAACGCCGTATATTTTGAATTGTTTATATTTCAAATCCAACTAAGGTATAATTGAAGAAAGAATGTTTTTTATTTTTTAAGCAATAACTAAGCTTCGCCCCCTAGCGTTTCAATTGGTACATTTTATACAACTATTCGTAGCATATATCCGTCTTCTTATCTAGTAGTATTTGGAAATTGTAACCTAAGTCGAAAAGACTTAAAACGCTAACACAGCCGGCCACAAACTGAACTAATCTTGGTTGAACATCTGTTAGGAGTTCAGCTTAATGCTCTTTCAAACGAAACCAAGATCGTCAAAATCGGTGGAGCGAAACAAAAGTTATGTGACTTTTTCTGAAATGACATTCAACCAATCCTACACCCTAAACTAAACAAAAAATATGAAAAAATTACAATCCTAAAAGTTTGGAAATTGAGCGGTTACTTCTATCATAAAAATTTTTAACCGATAGCGGTTGCCGAGATACAGTTGGCATCCGTTATTATTGGCCCACCCGGTACAAGTATACTTGTCAAGTAGGCAGGCTCTAATGTATAATAACCACATATTATTAGTACACCCTAAAATGAGGCTAATTGTCAACCATACATTGTAGTACATATGTGTGGCCATTAAAAGACTTCTTTGTGGCCAGGTACTCATCCGAACTAAAATCACCTGATTGCTTATAGAACGAAACGAACGGCCAAACTACCTATAACCCTGATATGTCGGCCTCTGATGTCTGATATACATATACGTATAGTATGATGTACATGTACATACACACTTAATCAGTTTCAGGTATCCATTTCCCTACTTTCTGAATTTAAAACTTAAGATTGCTTCTAGTGCATATAACCTGTTTCTGGACAATCAGAAAAACAATTAGTAAAACTTGATCCCATGTATAATAAGTTCAGAATGAAAATAAAAAATATCAATCAAATATCGATATCAATTTTTTTCAAAATTTTTGATAGGTATATAAGATTTGTGACAGCACAGTTATAATATACATCATTCAGTAAAATTCAATTTGTTCTTTTAAATTCCAATGATCCAAATATACTTTTAAATCTAAATAAAATAATCCATTGAAACTAGGCAAATACGTTTACCTAAACTAATTAAAAACATTTAATTAATATAACTAAGTTGTTTTACTTAGAGCAGGTAAACCCAATTTGATAGATCATCAATTTTAAGTAAATTGGTATACTTAATCTGAATAAACGGCTTAATAAATTCAATTAAACGTTGCATTTTGGCTTAATTAAACTGGTTTCATAGATTCAAGTAAACTGTTTCAAAAATCGGAGTTTTATTAAAGCAATTAATCTTGTTAGCTGTCACATCGTAAATTAAATTTTTTAATTGACCTAATTAAAATTTCAATTAGTTTGATTAATTTTTGTTTTTCAGTGCGGAACTGTTGTCTAACGCTCTTTTTAAGTCTGCAGTCCTTCGATTGAAAAGATTCTACTTATAAACCTAAAAGTCCAAATATGGGCATCCTAAGACTCCAATTAGCCGTAAAAAGTGAATATTTAGCATGGCTTTGTGTACAAGATCGTGGAAAAAGCTAGTAATATAGTTTTCGTTCATCCGACCACAGACGGCTAACCATGGACAGCTGTTTCGTACTATTTGGCAACTCCTCAGCATGGTATAGGCTTGGTCTCGGTGGACAACGAACGAAAGCACAGCGACTGCACCCTATTCAGAGTATAAGGTTCATCGAAATAAGACTGCACAAAGTACGATCTGTTACCAAAATCGACCACTGCGAACCTCTCTCCCCGTCTTGAGAAGGTTCTTGCAAGCACCCATGGGAGGGTGGCTTTCTCCTTTAAATTTTGAAGTAACGTTTTTATGATTCTGTAAAAAAATAAAAAATGTTCAACCATGATAGCCGCCTGAGAGCTCTTATCTGTAGACTTTGATGATGAAACGCGTATAGTTATGGAAGGTAAATATACTATACATACCGCACGGTTTTTTGCCATGCGAAGCCACATATAGGTACAAAATTTGAAGCCCGAAGGTACGATTTTTTTGAAATTCAAAATTGTCTTCTCCACCCTGTCTCTCAGTAATAGAACATTAAAAAAATCATGTTTAAAGCAGCCTTCAGTGTATTATAAGTAATATTGCCTCTGTGTTTCAAGCTCTTCATCATGTGATACTTGATCCTGGTATATTTTATCGTAGGGAGGAGAAAAAATATAGTTAGAGATCGTCCTACCTCTCCGACGATAATGAAAAAAAGAAGACTAGCAGCTAACGCGAGGGAAAGAAGAAGAATGAACGGCTTGAACGAAGCATTCGATAGGTTGCGAGAAGTTATACCTAGCTTAGATGCAGATCACAAACTTAGTAAATTTGAAACACTCCAAATGGCACAGACTTACATTAACGCGCTCAGAGAACTTTTAGAGAGAAGCGAAGATAATCGGTGAAAATTATAAAATTCTAGATGTATACCCACCTTTTGTCACAGTGACCGATCTATTTAGAAGCAACCGGAGCACCTGCCGAATTTTGCTATGCTTCAACTGTACCATCAAAAGTACCAAAAGTTCTCTATTTTCAACTATAGTGATCCTTAGTCCCACATAACTTAAGTGAATTTTTGGTACAATTTTAAATTTTACGGAATCGATAACGAGGGTTTTGTGCACCTCATCGCCAAAATCTGATCTATGTGTTCTGATGTCTTTAAATCCATGAAAGATTGTTGATACTAGAAAGTATTTAATAAGGTTACTTTGACTGTTAGTATAGCGTTTTTCTGTCCACATAAGTATGAATTACTTGTATATCAGTTAAAAATATTTTGTAAGCATGTATATATATATACAGGGTGTTCCATAATTATTGCGACAAAATGATAGGGGTTGTAGAGGGCATCAAAATGAACAATTTTTCCTTATAAACCCCTGTTCGGAAACATGCCGTTTGGGCTGCAGCAAAAGAAAAGATCAGTTTCTTGAAACAGCTTACCTACAGTAATTGCTCAAAGTGTCCTCCACCTTGCTCAATACACACCTGTGCACGATTGTTCAATGATCGGCGAACTCTGTAGCATACCCCCGGTATGTCCTGAACATGTGCGGACGCGGCCATCACTCTTCCCAGTAGCTCTTGTTGGTTGGGAACAGGAGTTTCGTACACTAAAGCTTTCAGATAGCTCCAGATAAAATAATCCAGTGGAGTCAGGTCAAGTGACCGCGCAGGCCAAGGCACAGGGCCACCTCGGCCTATCCACCTATTTGGAAATTTGTCGTCCAAATACCGCCGCACTTGTAAAGAAAAGTGGGCTGGAGCGCCATCGTGTTGAAACCACATGTTGGCTCTTATGTTCAGTGGCACATGTTCTAATAGTTCCGGTAGCACATGCTGTAAGAATCAACCATAAGCATGCCCATCCAAACGTGGTGGAAGCAAATATGGCCCGCTGATATGCTCGTCCACAATGCCGCACCAGATGTTAATTGAAAACTGATGTTGGTCTCTATGGATGGCTATGGCGTGAGGGTTTTCTTCATCCCAAATGTGACTGTTACGGCTATTAAAATAACCGTCCTTTGTAAAACAGGACTCGTCAGTGAACAAAACGTAGCGACCAAAGTTTGGTTGCCTCAACTCCTGCTGCAGCCACAAACGACAAAAACGTCGACGCGGCAGATAGTCTGCTGGACCCATGGCTTGGACTTTTAAAAGGTGGTACGGGTGTACGATAACAAAAATGTAAACACAGCAGGCTTTTTCTACAAACCGGCGAGACCATGAAATGTGCTAGACGAACATTTTGCAGCTGGTGAATTTTTTGTTTCTCCTATGAGCTCTTAAGGTAAAATTAACTGTAGTGCTCAAACGGCATATTTACGAACAGGGGTTTATAAGGCAAAATTGCATATTTTTATGCCCTCTACAACCCCTATCATTTTGTCGCAATAATTATGGAACACCCTGTATATATATACATATTCCATATCATAATAGGGACAGAAAATTGTTTTATGCTATATTTTCTTAAATGGAACTGATGCCATTACCAACTGCCATTTTGTAACTTCAAAAAATGATTTTCTTAGATTAAGTGTTGGGTAATTTGTTCATAGATTTAAAAAAATGAAAAATTCTAGTCTGAATCCAAATAAAATATTTACTGTGTGTTTTCAGTTATTTTTAAGTAAAAATGTTTCAACTCATCCCACTGTAGAACTGTATTTTGTTCATATAAAGTTTCTAAAGATCCATCTAATTCGCAACTATTTTTTAACAATATGAATTTGTAATAAATGTAGAGTTTTGTTAATAAAGCACATTTATTTTCTTAAATTATATTTATTATTTCACCTATATTAAACATTATTCAAAGAAACTAAAAAAAAATATTTACAGGTTCATCAATAAACAGGAGATGGTGTCTGTGTTTTCAAGATTCCAAAACGAGTCTTCACTATTATCCTATATTTCGAGTACTTATCTTCTGGAGAAAACCTTGCTGAAAATTGAAAAAAATGATATATTAATGAAACTATAACTAGTAATAAAAGTATTACACACTGGGCCATGGGCGCCTACAGGATTGTTTCTCAGAAGGGATTAAACATTGGTATATTATGAAAATGTATCAGCCTTGCAAACTTTTTGATGAGAAAGGGGCAGCAAATATTCTCAGGGTTGAAAATTACTAGTATTGTACACATAACTCTGCTAAATATGCTTTAAAGGTCTGGATTCTCAAGGAAGGCAATGGCTCCCACTAGCCCCCCTGTGGCTCCTGTGCAATGAGAAACTGACATGGTGTTGTCAGCTATACATTCAAAAGAAGAACAACCTAGATTAAAGTAACTCTAATATAAAACTTGTTACTACGCTAAACATGAGCTATGCCCATTATTTAGTTTTGGAGCTTCCACTTCTCGCTAGGAAGAAAATCATCTATAAAGGCTTTATATACATGGGTTGGAGGAGACATAAAGTGGTTGACCATATTAGCGTCGTTCGGTGCTATAAGTGTTGTCGTTTTGGGCATAGTGCTAAAAATTGTAGAGCACCTGTCTAAAATGTTCTGGCAGTCAAATGTTCAAGGATTGTAACACTGATACAGAAAAATGTATCAATTGTCATAATCATAATGAAAAAATTCACGGCAAGTATAGGACATAAGGCAAATGATAAAGATTGTGCAATGTATATAACAAATTTTGAAAATCTTAAAAGTAGACTAAACTGCATTCTGAAAATTGGACACCTTATCTTATGATATCGGATTTTGACGAGATTGTCAACTTCGTCAAATCTGATGATTCGGATATATTTGCCGTCACTGAAACGTGGTTGAATGCAGATATAACAAATAGTTCTGTAAGTATTAATGACTATGATATATTTTGTTGTGACAGAGAGACATGAGGAGGTGGTGTAGCCATCTATTTCAAGTCTAACTTACGTGTTGAAGTTTTAAACTTAGATGTACAAACAAGTGCTTATTTGGCATGATTGTGGGTAAAACTGAATGTTAATAGAAGTATATTTGTTGTAGGGGTGATGTATCGATCGACCACCATCACAAAATATTAATGACTGTGTCAGATTGTTAGATGTTCTTTTGCCCAAAGTTTCGAGTAAATTCGACAATGTAGTCATATTGGGTGACCTGAATGTTGATATTTTAAATCAAAATAACATCCTACTTCCTTGCTTCAATTCAACTGGCTTTGTACAAATTATTATCTGTCCTACCCATGTAAAGTAGTACACAGCAACATTACTTGACCCTACATTCACTAGCAAGCCTGACCTTTTTCTTGAATGCAGATCAAATATCTGAACATAAGCTTGTTATGTGTAACGTAAAGGTAGGTTCTTTTAAAACAAAGGATGATTACTTTAAGAGACTTTAAATATTTTAACAATACAGTCTTCATTAATGATCTTTCTTGTTCGTCTATTGATGATCTATTTTTTACTGAAGATGTAGACAATAAGGTTGCGCACTTAACAAATATCGTGGTTGGAACATTCAATAAGCATGCTCCACTCAGGACTGTTTGTGTATCTAAACCTCCAGCACACTGGCTAATAATGAACTTAACAGACCATGAAAGACAAAGATGATGCATTGGCGATATATAGACTAAACAGAACTTCAAATAATTTTGAAAGCTATCGACCCCTCAAAAACAAGGTTCTTATAGATATCAGAATAGCAAAAAAAAATTATCTGGGAGTGCTTTCCAAGCAAAATCATTTAAGCAAAGTTTGGTCAGGGTTAAACAATTTTAGTATCAACTCACGCAGTAAACCTGCTCTGCCAGAAATCATAAGTGACGTGGATACTATAAACAACAACTTTAAGTCTGTTCATAGTGGTGACAGTGTACCGGAAGAAACATGCAGATTTTATAAAAACAATAGGCTGAATCCCACTAAATCTTGTTCCTCAGGAGATTTTTGACATTATAAAAAATTTGAAATCGGATGCAAAAGGCCTTGATACTTTGTCAATAACGATGATTAAAATTAGTTTACCGATAATATTCTATCATATATTGCACATAGTGAACATGTGTATTGAGAAAGGTGTATCTCCCAAAGAATGGAAGAGTGCGTTAATTTTACCAACACCTGAAATCCCTAAGCAAACTGATGTTACGAATCTTATACCTATAAGTTTATTGCCTGTGTTATCTAAGATTTTAGAAAAGACGGTGAAGTTTCAAGTACAATTATATGTTGAAGACAATGGTATTATTTCTTTTAATTCATCAGGATTTAGGAAGCACCAAAGTAAAACCTCTGCGCTACTGAATTTGTGCAATAATGTGATCTGAGCTATGGACAAAAAGATGGCGGTATTTCAAGTGTCAATAGATTTCTCTAAAGCTTTCGATAACATCAATTACCAACTGTTGCTTTCCGAATTACATTATGTTGGTCTTGACAATGAGAGTGTTCAGTTTTTTAACAACTATCTTCAGCAGCATATGCAGTGTGTTTCTGTGGACAACAGGCTGTCTGAAGCCAGCATAATATCATCAGGCGTCTCTCAGGGTTCCATACTAGGCCAAGTATTGTTCTGATACACACTTTTGATTTACAAAAATCTGTTGCACATTCTGATTTGCAAAATTTTGCTGATGACACTCAACTTGTATATTTTAACACCTCATGTTTGCAAGATGCTGCTGTCCTATTAGAGCAGGATCTGAGCAAAATGCAAAAATATTCAAGTGACCACAATCTAATAATTACAACGCAAATATTACTATTTTGCTCAGAAGCAAGGAGAAGAAATGTGTAAAAATCATTTTAAGTGCATCTTGGTTAGCTGTTGCAACTAACACATTCAGCTAAGATTTTAGGGGTTGAAGTAGACAGCAAATTAAGGTTTATGGACCATGCCATGTCACTAACTAAAAAGAGATATGCTAGAATGAGAGCATTGTTTGCCAATCGCCATCTTCTAAATTATAAATGTAATTTTGATTTTAAATTACTGTGATATTCTGTACTATGTCTCGACCAATTGATAAAGAGCGGGCTGCAAATAATTCAAAATAATTGCATCCGTTTTATCCATCGGCTGAGAAAATTTGACCATGTTAGCAATAAATACCGTTGTATGAAATAGCTAAAAATTGACAAACTAGTTGAGTACAAGTACTTAATATTTTTGCACAAGTTGATAGCCCACTTATTTGAGAGATAAGATTATATTTAGCCATAAAGCTCATAGCAGCAGCATATGAGACTGTAAAATAATCAGAATACTGCCTCACTCTATGATACTTTTCAAGCATTGTTTTTTGTATAATGCTGCCATACTTTCATTTACCAGGTAAATACAAGCCAATTTCCATAAACAAATAAAACAATTTGTATTTACCCTGACCTGATATTGGTCTAGTTAGTACCTTATTTATATATATATATATATATATATATATACAGGGTGACTTTGAAGTTGAGTCATTAATTTTCAGATAATGATTGTAGAAGGAAGATAAACCAGAATATGTGTGTAAAAATGAAAAAAAATAAAAAAAAAATTTTTACCTTGTTTTATAAAGTATCCTCCCGACAAGTATTTCAGTGCGGACCTGTATTTGATCGTGAGGTCCCCTGTGAGGTCTCAAGTCACCTGATTCACGAGCCCGTTGTACTACATTAACAAAGGCACGAGGGGTTGGTTGCACTTGATTGGGAAACCGATCCGCATAAACATGTGCCATTTTTTATTTCGTTTGAGCCACGCAACAGACACTATTCACACGCTAACCGACTGACACTGACTGTATATATAACTGAACTGAATAAAATAATTTATTGTAAAAACATCGTTCCAAATTCTTTCGCTTTTTTGTTTCCGATGCGATGAACCGGTAAGGCGGATTATATTCGTTGTTGCCAAACACGAGCACATGATATTATTATTGAGACAGGGCGGTACTCAAACTTCCAAAGGGCTATAACTTTGTTACTTTAATTTTACCAGAAAAATGGTAAAGGAAAAAACATTTCTTTTGATCAGATCTACTCACTGTTAAAATAAATGACTCAACTTCGAAGTCACCCTGTATATACACATATATATATATATATATATACAGGGTGACTTTGAAGTTGAGTCATTAATTTTCAGATAATGATTGTAGAAGGAAGATAAACCAAAATATGTGTGTAAAAATAAAAAAAAAAATAAAAAAAAATGTTACCTTGTTTAATAAAGTATCCTCCCGACAAGTACTTCAGTGCGGACCTGTATTTGATCGTGCGGTCTTGGAGCAGCATGCCCTCACCTGTGAGGTCTTAAGTCACCTGATTCACGAGCCCTTTGTACTACATTAACAAAGGCACGAGGGGTTGGTTGCACTCGATTGGGAAACCGATTCGCGTAAATCCGTGATGCATCCGGGAGCATTTTGTAAAGACTGCCCCCCCGTAAATAAGAATCATGTCCACAAGTTCAGCATTTTCGTAAACATGTGCCATTTTTGATTTCGTTTGAACCACGCAACACACTACTATTCACTTACGCGTTATCGACTGACGAAAAACATCGTGATAAACGTTTCAAATTCTTTCGCTTTTTTGTTTCCGATGCGATGAACCGGTCAGGCGGATTATATCCGTTGTCGCCAAACACGAGCATATAATAGGCAGGGCGGTACTCAAACTTCCAAAGGGCTATAACTTTGTTACTTTAATTTTACCACTGTTAAAATAAATGACTCAACTTCGAAGTCACCCTGTATATATATATATATATATATATATATATATGTGGAGGACATTTTGAACAGCTTCTGTAACATTAAACATGTCCAAACGCTCTATAAGAAACATTGATTTTTCATTTTCATGTATAAAAGGTTTGAAATTTGCATTTTAACACACCCATTTTGACCCATGTTAGATAGCATTTATTGCTGAACTTAGAATACTTAGGATAACAAAAAGCTGTAAAATTAGCACAAAAAAGTACAACTTCACAGACTAAATTTTGCACAAAATAATCAATTTTCCTCCATATGTTTTTCTGTTTTTGTCTGTTTTTAGTACATTTGAGGGTTAGTATCAAAACAAGTTTTTCAATAATAGCTAGGACAACATGTCATCGTTCAAATGGCACCAAATTTATCATTCTATGACACTTACATACTGAGTTATTACAATTTTGATACATGCACTACTGTAATCCTAACGTAAACATAAAAATGGCTACCATTTCAAGGAGGATGAGGTAGTACATTGTAGGGGGTGGATTTGTCGATGAAGCTAGTTAAGCATAAGAGTAGTACCTTATATTATATATATTATACTAAAAAAACTCTACTCTCACCAATAAGAAATTATGTGTTAATTTATATAAAATTGTAGCAACAGAAACTTATTAGTCAGCTTACCAGGATGTGCAGACAAAGTAGGTTTCCCACTTGGATCAGTTTTCTGCAACAAAGTTTATGATTAGAAATTTGCATTTCTGCCGATTGACGAGAATAGCAGCCAATTACAAAAAAAATAGTATCTACCTTTAATGTATATATTCTATTGCCATCTTCACCCAAATAGTACATGAGATACATTTTTGGAGCCTTTAAGTTTGTGGACACCACAGAAATCACGACGTTTACTGTTTCCGAATATATTCCTCGCTTTCCCTAATTCCTTCTAACACACTGCTGATAGATAGATAACTTGAAAGTTCCGTTTTTTTTCCTATTTCCAGGTATAATTTTCTATTTTCATTAGATTTCGAATACAGGATCCACGAATCTTGGTAAACAGCACAACAGAAACAGAAACAAATGAGGTTACAGGTTAGAAAACGACACGTGTAAATCATGGAACATCAAAATAAAGAGCATAGATGCAAAGCAAAACGAAGATAGACGCCTCCATACAGCCATTTTCACCCCAATAGATGATCGCCCATCTGAAGTAATTTCCACTAAGAGTAACTCCGAGTAACTCAATTGGGCCATAGGGAAGCAGGTAAGAAAAGGTTCCACGTATTCAGAGCTGCTTTCGTGACCCAGTTGGGTTAGACGGGATAACTCAGTAGTGCTCAGCATCAATACTGTTCCACTGCACGTTGTATTCCCATGCATTATTTCTAGAGCACTTCACGATCATATCACTCTCAATCCAAAACCCATTAGAAACCAGCTCAGGAGAGAATAATCTAAAATGCTTCCAATTCAGAGCAATTATTATCATTTAAACATTTACCAAAGGTGGTAACTTTGCGCACGACAGGATTTGCTGTAGAAATGAAAATGGCAGATAACTCCAGTTCTATGTGAGGGGTTGCAATGCAGTTCACAAATGTTCTTGTTGTTTTGTCATTGTTATGTGATTGTTATCAGAGAACACGTAAATAGAATTTTAACACATTTAGATTATTTACCACTTGTGTTTACCACAAAACACATAAGACTGATATTTACCAATTTTCGTTTTGAAGGTGTTTTATTCTCTGTTTTTTTGGGATACCACTTTTCACCCATTTTATTCACAACTAATTATTTTGTGACTATTAAATTGAAAACTTAAGGTGAACACAAAACCACACTATGCAATACTGTGGCATCCCGAACCCGATGTCACATCGCTAGCCCTAAACATCGGGAAACATGACATTTTCTTCTCATTTGTTTGTGTCAAGCAAATCTTTGTAATAAATTTCGAGTATCATCAAATCCCCTTTTAAGACCACAATGATGAACAACAACAAATATATCCAAGTCGCTGGCAGCAGCACTGGCGTAACCAGCAGCGATAAAGTTGTTCAGGACATCCTAAACACCTTCACAGATCTAAGGCACTACTCGAGAGAGATCGAAAATGAACTACGCTTCACGGAGAATCAGTCCATTAAGGTGTACATGAAAGAGAGTGAAAACATTGCAAGCCTTCATAATCAAATTACAGCTTGTGATGAGATATTAGAGCGCATGGAGAATATGCTACTCGATTTTCAGAATGATCTGGGCAGCATATCTAGTGAGATTCTCACATTGCAGAGGAAGTCTATTTCTATGAGCCAGGAGCTTGCTAATAGGCAGGCCATTAGAGGGCAACTTAGCCAATTTATAGATGATATATCAGGTAAAATCCACAAAATAATGTGATTTCTAAATTGAGGTTGTGAATATGTAGTTCCAAGAAATACCCCCCTGAAACCAATAATGCAAGGTGTTATCCTGTTTTTTTCTAGATTTTCAGGGGATAGTATAAGTAAAATTAATAACTAAAATTCTCCTTCACAGTGATTCGAGTATTTTTTTAATAGAAATCTCTTTTCATCAAGACTTTCAGAAAAGAAATTAAACACACTCATACTGAGTCCATTTAATATAGGTATTTTTATCAAAAATACATACTAACTAGGTAAAAATGAACAAGAAACTAATTTTTTCTTATAATCCAGTCCTGCACTGTTGACTCTGGACCACCATACTGTTTACATATTTCAAGCAATTTCTCACAGCTAGGACTGTCTCCTTTAGCCTGCCTCCGCTATATATACAGAATTTATTTTTTTCTTGATATCCATCCTGAATGAAGTGCTAATGTGAAATGAAAAATTATGTAGAAATGCAAGCAGCTATGGGATACTTATTCATTCCAGTAGTCAGGCACAATATCATTATTGTAGTTTGGTTTGTTTAATTCCATATGTAACAAGAACAGTGCTTATATATTGTCAGCTGACAATTCTACTTGCCTTAAAGGCAAGTAGTTTATGTCACTCACTACACAAATGACAAAAATTGAGGAATCAAACCCATGCTGTGTTTGACGTGCTAATACTGTTGTCAATGTGACAACTATGGATGTGAAATTTTATATATAGGATTTCAAATATTCAAGTTTTTACCAATAATATAACATTTGTCCTACTACTGGTAGTATCCAGGTTACTGGCACAACCACCCTATTACTAAGATGAAATTCTGTTCATTTATGTAAGACACTAACTAAGCCAAAAATTTGGTTTGGACTTGCAGTTAACCTTGTAGCAATCTATTTTAATTGGATTTTGCCCTAGGTCTTATACTCAAGTGCTCCTACTTTCAAGGATGCCTTTCCCTCTTTTGGAAAGCATAAAGGAATTTTAGCCTTCCTAAAGGAGAGAAAAAAACAGGAGGCTTTCACAAAAAACGGCGGCCTTTAATGCAGGAGGACGAATAGGAGCCACTAAAAATAAAACAAAACTGGTTCTCAGTAAGAGTAGTGGTTCTTCATTCCTTATTAATCCATTCTGAATTTGTCATATACTGCTAGAGTATGTTGTGTTAAAACATGATCATACAATGAGTGCCAAAGTTCTTGTACTATGATTGCTTCAATATATTTTTATATATCTTTCTATATAATGGTTATTTTTTAAGAAAACAAATAAAACTTATAGGCCTTCATGAAGATATGAGAAACTGGAAAATTAAACTTCTTACCTATCAGTAAAGAATCTGTGAGAAAAGGCTATTTATACATTTATTCTTATCACACTTTCTGATATTTTTTGCTAATTTTTTTGCTAGTGGCAATGTTTGGTAACCAACTGGCCAGATCCTTATTTTCAATATCCTGCTCAAATATCAAATAGATCATCTATAACCTTATATTACTACAATACCAGCTCAATAGAGTTTACTAGTACAATTACCTTTATTTCATTCATGTCAACTTTTTTATTTTAGTTCCTGAAAACTTAATATTAGCAATTATGGATCTACCAGTAACTGACAAAGAATTTTTATCCCAACTTCAACTATTGAATCATAAACTTAGTTTTATTAAGGAGCAAAGTTTCAAGGAGACCAAATCATGTGGTGATATAAGAGAAATTCTTGAGAAGCTCAAGTAAGTCAGTAAGTAAAATAAGAGGAGAAGGCAAGTTATAATGCTATACTAGAATCTATTCCATATTATATTTTGGATATTCTGGTATAAAGTTGCTTTACCTGTACTTTTTAAGCACTGTTAATTTGAAAATATTATGCCTTGAAATAGGTATAGAGTACTAGCTATTTTTATATTTATTTTGCCCCTGTAAACCCCATAATATTTTTTGTTATAGGATAAAATCCATGTCAAAAATAAGAGCATACCTGTTGGAGCAAGTTTCAAAGTTTAAGAAACCAATGGCCAACTATCAGATTCCACAGAATAACTTATTAAAACATAAAGGGCATTATGAATTTTTATTATCAAATGAGAGGAATATCGCTGAAGAGATTCGAAATGAATATGTTGATACTATGAGCAAAATTTATTACTCTTATTTCAAATCATATGAAAGCAGGTAGGTACTTTCACTATTTCTAGTTAACTAATATTTTCTTTGGCATTATTAAAAGATGAGGTATATAGATAGAAGATTTTGGGATTGGTTGGTCTCAAGTGATTAAGAACTTGAATTTTCAAAAATTACTAGATTTAGGCTTTTCTTACAGTGTTGTACATTTTTGACCCTACATCTTTGTAGAGTGATGAAATTGCAATATGAAGAGACAACATCAAAGGACGATCTGATGGGCATTGAAGATACAGCTAATACTCGTGGACTATTCAACAAGTCTTTGAAGCAAAAAGCAACTGTGTTCACCATTGGTAATAGAGGAAACATACTCAACCAAGAGCTTGAGGCACCTATAATTGTACCACATGCACAAACGAAAAACAGGGTATGCATAAAAAGACTCTTTTCAATCATATATGTTTTATTTTCTGATATTTAATTACTAGAAAATATAAGGGTGTAACCATTGATTGACATTTTCTGCTTGAAGATAGCATATATAGTCCATTCAAAAAAATATCTGAATAATATGAGATGCCATAGAGTCATCTATTAAAATTTATTCCAGCTGTTTCTCTATTTACTATTCATACCTTGAAAAGGTTAGTGTCTCAAGCATGGCTTGTATATGCTCATATACTGCACCATCTATTACACTAACCTTGCCAAACCATATATAGAGACAGCTGTGAGAAATTCTCATGGATGAGGCTACAGTATCTCATTTTCCTCAGATAATTGTTTGCCAATATAGCGTTAGGTTAGCTGTCTTTAGGTAGAATATGTTACCAAATGGTGTAACTAAAGTAATCTTTGAATATGGTATATTGTATGTACCATTTGCAAATTTACACCTCAGCAAATGTCATGAAATTCATTTATATCATTTATACAAAAGAGCTACAATGTTCATAGAAATGCTTAAAACACTAGTAGATATATGTGTTAAGTATCTCTGTTACCAAAAAGGAACAGAGCACCAAAACACATCTCACACCCATCTCTTTGAATTGACAAGGTTGGCTTGCTTGTAACCCATCATAACGTATTGCGTTAGCATGGGCGATGGGCGTATGATGTGTTTTGCTTCTCTTCCTTCTGAGTACCCACATATTATATCTGAAGATAACCAACAATGTACTGTATTTCGGCGTTTAAAAATTAATTGAAGATATGAATTCAGAAATCCATTTCAAAAAGATAGATTGGTTCTGCTACCGTCTCATAGATGGCGCTAGGACCTTCAATATTTCTTTGGCCTCTGCCCCTATTTTAATTGGGTATCTTTAAGTGAATTACGTTAATCAATGCCTGAAGACACCCAATTCAAATTAGGCGTTAGAGGGGTCCAAAAGGAATTGCAGATCCTAACGCCAACTATGAGTCAGTAGCAGAACCAAACACTTTTCAAAGTAAATTCCTAAATTCATTTTTGTGTTCTGCTAATGCCTGATAGATGCCGCTTATATTTCAGATCTCCTTTTAGACACAGGAATGCAGTATCTGGTTGGCTATCTTCATGTAGAATATCTTAATCAATGGTTTAGATATTGATATTTATGTAATTTTTCCGTAACTATGCAAAACTAGAAAGATATATCTCAGTTTGATTCAAAGCAACCCTACCAAATATTTTTTATCAGACCTTCTTTTCCAGTATCCTTTTGAAGGCTTATTTAGGAGTGTGCAGTATGCTTTAGTGGACAATGCTTGTAGAGAGTACTTGTTTATATGTGAGTACTTCATGGTAAAGGATCAGGCTGCTATGAATCTTTTCAATCAGATCATGGAAAAGACCCTTACACTACTTCAGGTGAGTGCTATTAGTGCTGTAAACAGATTTTATGATTAGATTAATAATGAAACAGGATATGCAAGAGGAGAAAAAGTTCATTCACTTTTGTGATAAACTGAAGAAATATCACTAACAATGGAAGATACTGTGAATATCAGCTTATTTATTTTAAACACATAAATACGAGGCGTGTTTTTAAAGTAAGTACCGTTTTGACCTAAAAAAACAACAAGTGAATTTTGTCCAAAAATAATTTATTCACTTGAAAGGCCATATTTTACTCTACTTTTCTACGTAATTCCCTTTACGATTGAGGAATTTATCGTATCTTGAGACCAGCTTTTGTATGCCATCGTCAAAGAAGCTTGCCGCCTGAGTAAACAACCACTGCTTCACATTTTTGGCACCCAGCGTGAACACAATTTCCGATAATTTAAACGTTCGGACACAATTTCGTAAAGAACACTTCTTGAGACAGCAGGAAACTGTTCAGCTAAGGACGAAATCGTGAAACGTCTGTTCTCGTTCACTTTACAGTCCACTTTTTGAATCAGGTCATCGGTAATGTCTGAAGGTCTCCCACTTCGTTTCTCATCATGAATGTTTGTGCGGCCATCTTCAAAGGCCCTAACCCATTTCCGCACCATTCCATCACTCATAATGTTTTCACCACTGACTTGGTGATGAATTTCAACTGATTTGAACCCTTGAGCACACAGAAACCTTATTACAGCACACACTTCGCAGTCTGCGGGATTCTCAGTCGGTGGAGGCATTTTAAAATCACGCAAACAGATGTAGACTCGATCGGATGGTTCCGTAGTGGCGTCTGCGGCTTCCCAACAGATGTAGCAACACGACGCGCAAGTGCTAAACGGCAACCGCAGCGCCGCGGCGGCGTAATTTAAAAACGGTACTTACTTTAAAAAAAAATATAATAACACAACAATATAATTCCTCTTCATCAAGAACATCCCAATGACAGAAAGATGCACCTAGATGGTTCAAACCACCTGTATGTGCTTTCATCATCGGGACTTACAAATGAAAAGAAAATCCTATTTATTGAATTATAAAAAACAATAATCAACCTCAATATCCCGAACAATAAATCAATTATACTATGATACAAAAATATATTCTCTGCAGCTGGTGCTACATGTTTTAATATTTTTCATCTTTTTCAAGTGTTCTGGCAGAATGTTATATATCTTTGGTCCTATATACGTTATGTATCTTAAGTTTAGGTTATTATTATTCTTGGGAATTTCTATTTGTCTGCCCACATTTGCACGAGTACAGTAGTTATGACTTAATTATTTCTGTAATTTTTCATTTCTATGAATAAAAGTTGATGCTATCATTACGTACAAGGTTCTATTACACACATCCTTTGTAAAAAGTTTATTAGTGGGGAATCTTTCTTAATAATATATTTCTGAATAATAATGAGTTTATGTAGAGCATCATTATACAATCCCCCCCCCCACACTATTATCCTATATATAATTATAGATTCAACAAATGCTTTATAAACTGTCATTGAATTTTTTTTATCGAGAAACTCTCGCAGTAGATAAAATTTATGGATTCATTTTCTAACTCTACTCGATACATAATCAACATGCGATTGGCACTTTAAATGTTGGTCAATAATGATTCCAAGATATTTAGTTTGAGACACTTCCTTAACAGAATAATTATCATCCAACATAATAGTGTTGTAAGTTGGCCTGTTTTTATTGGTCAATGAAAACGCAATATAGTTTGTCTTAGATAAATTCAATGTTAGTTTACTCTCTTTTAACCAGTCTTTTACCATACCTAGACCATACACTGATTTACACTTTACATCCTCCCAACTAGAACCTGCAAAAAGGCGTACAGTATCGTCAGCATAAGAAATAGTTAAACCCCCCGTGTCCAGCTTAAGCATCTTATTTATATGAATTATAAAAAGGAGCGGCCCCAAAACAGTACCCTGCGGGCCACCAATCTTAATTATTTTTTCATTGCTCGTTATATTATTTAGTTTTAGCAGTTGTGTTCAGTAAATCATAACCCACTCCCCTAATTCCACTGCTGTGGAGAATGTCGATTAGCTTATCTGTGGAGAATGTCGATTAGCTTATCGTGAGGATCCGTGTCAGAAGCCTTAGCAAGATCCAAAAAACAGCAATACTCTTGTTGCCGTTATTCAGATTATTGACAATCTCAGTTATTAATTTCTGCATAGCATCCAGTGTACTGTTACCCTCAAGAAACCCGAATTGATTATCTGATGATATATTATTAGTTTTAAAACAATCCATTAATCGAGTTTTAAGACATGTTTCATATAACTTTGCAAAATATGTTATTAAACTTATAGGCCTGTAATTTCCAATGGATGTAGTATCCCCTGATTTATGTATCGGGATAACTATTGACGTTTTAAACTCCTTCGGACAATTCCAGTTTCCAAAATTAAATTGTAAATATGTAATAGTTGTGTTAAAATTTCAAAATGTTTGCTTTATAGTTTCAGCCTGTATGCCATCATAGCCAGGAGCACTATTACTTTTCAAAAATGCGATATGTTTTATCAGTTCATTCCTTGTAATGGGACTTAAGAAAATAAAATTCTGGAGGGGGTGCACTAATTTACACTCAGATTGAGGAGTGGGAATTGTCCGCGCCATGTTAGCACCCCCACATCAATAAAATATTCATTACAAAAATTTACCATTTCAATAGAATCAGTAAACTGGTTGCCATCATTACGTTGCATCCTTTATGATGTCATACAGTTTTTTATGTTATTTTTATTTTTTTCAATTTGCGTTCTATAGTAATTATTCTTTTGTTTGTGTATTAATTTATTTAATTTATTACGATAATCCTTATACTGATTCTCCAAAGACAAACTATAATTCGCTAGAAGTCTCTTTTCCATTTTAGCCATTTTTTTTACAGAAAAAATAATTCTGTTGCCTATCCATGGTTTTATTTTTTGGGATTGATACTCTTGTGGCAATTGTTTCTGTGACTTTCAACAGCAAGTCCCACTAGTTACCAAATTCCAATAACAATCATTCAAAAACTCCTTAAATTTATGTATGTTTAGTCTGTTTCTTGTTACAACTTGCCCAACCTGCAAAATTCCAGAAGGTCGTGCTTTATTAGATATACAAAGCACTGTCGGACTGTGATCCGTTATTTCATCATTGAGCATATAAGAATTTAATAATTGAACAATTGAAGGGTACCGGGGAATAACGGCAATAGTCCATCCGGACTAATTTTGAGAAAATCGGTAATTAAGGTTTACTTACTTGTTGGAGAGTAAAATTGATGAAAAAATAAGTCGTAAAAAATATATTTGCTAAACAGTGTATGTATTGGTAAAATAGATTATACAAAATGAACTTTTACTCAAAACTAGTAACGTAACAAACAAAAGATGATGTTAAACTCTGGACTCGTGCCACTTTTGCCCTGCTTTAAGCGTCTATTGGCGGGTCATCCACATATTCATCACTGCTCACTCATTTTTTGATGTAGTCTCTTCTGAAGTATCTTTTTCTTCAAATTATTACTTCCTGACTGCCTAGTTTGTTCCGTGTGGGAATTTAAGGTAGCGGTAAGTGAAAATATATCAGCTTTTAAGGAATCACACGTACTACAAGTATCTTTTCGTGGATAACCGAACGATATCTTGAAGTTTTTTTCAAAGATTTCTCGGAAGGATTCATAGGAAATCTTGTTTTCAACATTGCCTCCTTTCCATATGGACTGATGCCGTTTTTCCATACACGCGCAGGGACTCATGCCATTCTTCCCAAGCACAGGAAATCTTATAGCTGTTGTTTTGTGAACCTAAACCTTTTTTACAATTTAAGAAGCTGATTACAAGATAGCATCAGGAAAATGCCACCAAAATAAATTGAAAGCTCAATTTAGCCAAATAATGGACTATTGCCGTTTTCCCCCGGTACCCTTCAATTGGTTTTCAATGTTTGCCTAGCAAATATATGGTCCAGGCATGTTCCCGAAGACAGTATAGTAGGTTTATTGATAAATACGTTAAAGCCAAGAGAAGACATCATTGACAGATACTCTGTCACCAGAGTGTCCTCATTATCCAGAATATTTGTTAATATCCCCCAGAAATATTTCAATATTAGCTTCAAATAAGTGTGCAAATCATAAGTAAAGTCTTTCTTTGATATTGGAGGTGGACTGTAAACGCACGTTGTATCATACAAAATCCCATCCCGTTCAAACGTCAGTCTAGCTAAACTAGCCCTTGATATACTTAATTGGCACTTGGAGAAATTCGCCCTAATACCATCCCTAACAAAAACAATAACCCCATCATTTTTATTGTAATTACCTTCATTATAAAAAGTTTGGTATCCAGGTAAATTACAGTTCTTAATAGACACAATTTGAAAGGTTTCCGTGAAAACAATAACGTCAAATCTATTTAGCTTATATGACTACTGTACAAGCCAGAAAATTATCGAAATTTCTATTGATACTATTTATATTAACATGAATCACAGTTACAGCCAATTAATGAGCATTCTGTGACAAGAAGGTTTTTATCTGTTCACTGTCAATTATTTTACTCAAAGAACCATCGTCTTCATTAATTATATCCAGAATTTCATCATTTATGTGATTTACCATTAAGCTTATTTACTATACTCAGTTCTGGACTTCAATATTCCAATTTGGTATTTTAGACATGGACAGTTTGCACTTGATGCACTATGATCTGTTGCGTACTTAGTTTTATACAGTTTATTGGCCGTGTCACAGTTCACACACGTCCTCTCCTGTATTGTGACTCCCTGCACAGTTTCCACATACTTGCTTTCTAAGACACCGGTTACTTTTGTGTTGAAAGCCCTGACACTTGAAACACCTAGATACAGTCAGATCCTCATACACTGGCAAACGCTCCCAATCTATGTAATTTTTTTCATTTTTCATTATTTTTGTTATATAAGTCTCCTGAACAGTCCACATAAATTGTGGAGATATCTTTATTTTTCTGTCTTCTAATATAATTTATCTTCGACTGTATCCATGTATTCTGCTTCCTTATACATTCTTCAAGTTTCTCCTTATCACCCACATATCCTACAATTTTCATTTTCGGTAACATCTTTTCTGGAAAATTAACTTCATTTATGTATCTGTATCTTATATGTTTATTTCTGTGTCGCACTTTAGAACAATATTTCCTTTCTTAGTTTCCTTAATATTTCTAATTCAAACATTAATTTCGCATGGATTTATCAACCTTTGCACCTCCTCTTTATTCTTTCCTATATTTTGTTGGATTTTAGGCCTAATTATTATGGTAGGCAGACAGGGCTTATTAGTGGATGTTGTATTTTTTAACACAATCCAGTGTCTTATCTGTAGTTTGCTTTCAAATCATAGGGCATTCTTGCTATTAGTTGCTTGCATTCATCACAAATCAACAAAAGAACCCTCTTCTGCAGTGGCATACATCATACTTCGAAGATGTTAAATTGACACAATCCTTATGAACACTCCGAAAACGTGATTCACATTTATAGTAACCACTGTCTCCATGAAATTCTGTTGTACGTTTCATGCATACCTCGGCTTCAGGTTCATTGCCTTCCATCCTTGTTTATAATTAATGATTCTGTTTTGTGATGGTTATTATGATTGTGAGGCTATGTTTTCTTTTTAAAATTGTAGGAAATTTCAGGATAATATAAATCAAAATCATGAAAAATTTGATGTTAGATATGATCCTGGATAACTAGACTATAACACCAGCTAGTTATTCTGATGGTTATTGTTTTGTAACAGGTACTTTTTGTAAGCAAACTTTTTGTTGCTGTGTACACTTTTTGTAAGAGAAATGTATCCTACGTGCTGCAATTAACCTCAAATGAAAAATATGTGCACAACCAATATTTCACTGGAAACATACTTCTCACAACACTATTGTGATTTCTGTAAAAAATCAGATTTTTTACTGAAGTATTAAAGTAGATTTTCGACAAAATCCGGATTGCACTTTTTACACACGTCTATCGTTCGTGATACGTGTTCCCTCGTATATGGAACTTCTTGAATAAATGTACTAAGCTATCCTTTGTTTCTATGATTTCTACAGAAAAACATCGATTCTGTTTTGTATCCTACTTGCTGCAATTAACCTCAAATGAAAAATATGTGCACAACCAATATTTCACTGGAAACATACTTCTCACAACACTATTGTGATTTCTTTAAAAAATAAGATTTTTTACACACGTCTATCGTTCGTGATACACGTTCACTCGTATATGGAACTTCTTGAATAAATGTACTAAGCTATCCTTTGTTTCTTTGATTTCTACAGAAAAACATCGATTCTGTTTTGTGATGGTTATTATGATTGTGGGGCTATGTTTTCTTTTTAAAAATTGTAGGAAATTTCAGGATGATATAAATCAAAAGCATGAACATTTTGATGCAAACAGATATTTGTTGGATATGATCCTGGATAACTAGACTATAACACCAGCTAGTTATTCTGATGGTTATTGTTTTGTAACAGGCACTTTTTGTAAGCAAACTTTTTGTTGTGTTGCTGTGTACACTTTTTGTAAGAGAAATGTATCCTACGTGCTGCAATTAACCTCAAATGAAAAATATGTGCACAACCAATATTTCACTGGAAACATACTTGTCACAACACGATTGCCATTTCTGTAAAAAATCAGATTTTTTACTGAAGTATTAACGTAGATTTTCGACAAAATCGTGAGAGCACTTTTTACACACGTCTATCGTTCGTGATACATGTTCAGTCGTATATGGAACTTTTTGAATAAATGTACTAGGCTATCCTTTGTTTCTATGCTTTCTACAGAAAAACATCGAATCATATGTAAGTAGCTGCTACGACTCGATAGCGATTTTCCTGTGTTTCCATCTGGTACTCCGCTACAAAATCATGTGCCACAAAAGGTGCGTTCCAGCACTAGATAACTACTGGGAACACATGGAGAAAGAGGTGTTGCTACCACGGTTTGAGCAAATCGTACGGCTAAACATACAGAGCATCAAGGATTGCGATGTCACACGTTTCAACCTTGAACTTGGACCACACTATGTAAGTATCTGTGTAATAGCGTTTTTACTGGTCTCTCGAAGTCGCTGTTTTCACCAAAATCATCAACCAGAGTTCCACTTGTAGATGGCATTGTGACGTTTCAGCTAAAGTTTCGATCGTATCTGATCGCAAAAGTATTCTGATTCGCCATTTCGCATAATTTTATTCAAACAGTAACCCTTTTAACAAATCTGTTGTTGGTAGCTTTAGAGATATAAGCAATTTGACATTTGAAAAAGTGCGAATATGCCATTTTCGACCCTGAAAAATAATAAGCAAAAATTTTGACGTTGCCTACGTTCCTAATCATTCTTCAAACGTCCATTAACAAATATCTCAAAGCATTTCAGGAGTATTGTTATTGTAAACCTTTGTTTTACTTCCTATACTGCTGGCAAATAAGTATATTGTAATCACGAAATGTTAGGAGGGCAATATAATTTATTGAATATAAATGATCAGATACGGTGACAGTATCAGAGCTGTACTTATTCAGGTGTAAGATATCAAATCGACATTTTTCTGTGAATTTGAAGATATGGGGAATCTCATCTAATTTAGTACCTGTTCCTCAAGCAAATAATACCAGAGCTACGAAAATTGTCCTTGAGTATTAAAAAAAGCTGACAATACGTTTTCTTCAATAATAAGGATTTCCATAGCCAGAAAGTAAGAACGCGATTCAGATTCTATACATTGTGCGTATTTTTGCCAATGGCATTGGCCTTATGTCCGGGTACAACGATTTTCATAGCCGGCGGACAATAAAAATTCCAGAACGTACAAAAGTATGCATATAAAAAGTACATTTGTCTTGAATTGCGTAGGAAGTACAGAGTCAACCTACTTGACACCATTTTTTGAATTGTTAATCAAGTGTGCTCGATTATAGTCTGTGTGAACAAAGGTTTACAATAACGATACCCCCACAAAGGTTTTGTTAACAAATGTCTGAATAATATCTAGGAACAGTGGCATCGTTAAAATTTTCGTTTTCTCATATTGTTGTATTATATCTTGAAAACCATCAACTTTAGAGAAAAGTTCATAAGAATAATTTAAAAAACCTACAACATGGTCCAGAGCGAAAAAAAAATAATTTTCGAAATTTAACATTTTTTTATCTTCAGATCCATGGGTTCTCTTTTAATAAGATTATGGAAAAAAGCCGATTCAGAATTTCCCGAGCAGATAGTCCCTATACTATGATGATCCTATAAAAGTATTACTTCTATTATTTTTTTAGATCGCCCGACGGTACGCAGAATTCAGCGCTGCCCTTGTAAGTATCAGCGAGAATTTTCCAAACGAGTTGGTGAGCTCACTGCTAGCTGAACTGCAGGACGAGGTGGAGATGTTCATCTTCCGCATGGCGGGCGTTTTTCCAGAAAGGAAAGACCAACTCATATTCCTCATCAACAATTATGACATGATACTCGCCATCATCATGGAAAGGACCAGGGACAATAGCAAAGAAGGTAATGTAGAAATGTTGTCATCATTACCTTACGTAAAACTTACCGTTTGCCCAAAATTTAACTACCTGACATCGAAAAACGATTTTTGAGGTTTAACTTCCAGTCAGCAGTGAAACTGCAGGTAACTTATGATTGAAAAACCGGGCTTTAATAAATCTATACCTATAACTTAAAAAAGTATTTGAATCTTATCCAGAATGAATGAATCTGTCTTTCTAATAGCTGAAAAACGTTCGTCAACATTTCCCATCATCAAATGAAGACTTCCATGATTGGCGCTCAATCAAAGCATTTATTTATAAATCAAATTATTAATAGCGATTTTTTTCACGAATTTTTGAAGCACAGAACTATATTTCTATTTATTGTACTTCGTTACGTTCATCACGGTTGCCTTTTTCAGAGTGGATTAAGGTATTGAATTTGATTTTTATACATGTAGTACTGACAGCATATCCACTGAATACAAAAAAATCGTAGGTAATACTAAAAAAAAAGAAAATTATTTTCTAAATGATTTGAAACATCTACTGCATTTTTGAATAGCGTATTCAGTTTTACGTAAATCGCTTCTCTTGAGAAATATTCGGCGGACTGTTCCTTTTGGAGAAAAATTGGTTTGAATATTTGACGTAAAATCCGCATAAAAAACATTAACCCGTTTTAATTTGAAAATACGCTGGTTAGTGTGGTCTGACCTTGAAAATTATATGTAGTGTATTAGATATACGAGGAGGTACCCAAAAATAACCGGAATAGCATTGCATTGGGCGGAGCTTGTGTAGTACATTTCTGCCCCTAGAGGTGTACAGCGCAACTCATTACCAGTTCAGTGCCACCTGAGTAGTCGAACTGGCTTGTTTCGTTCCTCTGTAGTCATTATTTTTGCTAGAGCTGTTTCGTGCTTGTTTCGTTTTTTACGTCGGCAAGCTTCAGTGAGCAACGTGCAGCTGTGAAAATTTGCGTTCTAATTGGTAAAAATGTTGAAACGTTGAAAATAGCTTACAAAGATGATGCTATGGGAAAAACTCAGGTGTACGAGTGGTTTACTCGATTTAAAAATGGCAACATGTCTATTGATGACAAACCTCGCTCTGGACGTCCATCAACTGCCCGAATCGACGAAAATGTTGAAAAAATCGAGAGCTTGTGCTATTTGGAGCTTTTAAGACGATTGCGAAACAGTGTCTGGCAAAAAGACCCGATTTGTGGCAGTCAGTTTTCTACCACGATAATGCACCTGCGCACACAGCCATCTCTGTTCGACAGTTTCTGGCTAAAAATGGCATGGTTCCGCTACCTCACGCACCTTATTCGCCTGACCTGGCTCCGTGCCTTATTTCCACAGATGAAAAGGGGTATGAAGGACGCCGCTTTGACGACATTGGAGAGGTCAAGGAAAAAACGATGGAGGAGCTGTCAGACATTTCTAAGGAAGACTTCAAAAAATGTTCCGAGCAGTGGAAGCACCGGTGGGACAATTGTATTAGTTGTAGTGGACAGTATGTTGAAAGAGATAAGGTTACTTTGTGAAAAAATTAAAAATAAGTAGCTTATAAAAAATAATTCCGTTTTTTTTTTGTAACCCCTCGTATAACCACGCAATCCTAGAACTACATGCAGACCTGTTTATTTCAGAAGCAACAACTCATATTTTCTAAAATAAATCTAAATTTGAAACATTACATATAAGTTATGATATTTGACGAAAACAAGATCGTAAATCTCTGAAAGTTTACATTTGTTTTCCTGATGCTATCAAAAGAATTAACAATTTAAAGATATTCTGCCGTGAACTTACTGATATGTAAACCATATTATACCATGTTTAAGTTGCACAATTAATTTACTTTAGATCGTCGTATGTAATTATGTTATAGTCTAGTTTTAAGTTATATTTGTCATTCAGGCAAGAGAACATAATATGTCTATCTATTAGGAAACTAATCTCAATTCGACATAGGGTTGTATGAACAATATTTGTTTTATCCTTATTCAGCCTCCTCAATGGCATATAAATTAAAACGAGACTTGTATCTTAATAATGAGACATTTATTTGAACTTTTCGCTTTATAAGCATATACAGAATGTCAGGTACAGATAACGACTAGTAGTCTCTTTGATCTTGGTGTCGCCAACTATTTGACAAGTATCCTGCCAATTATCATAGAGGGCTGTAAAAATTTTCTCCAGGAGGGGTAATATAAACATACGAATTTGCTGTCGAAATTATGTAAAGAGCAAAAAACACTCCTACAGATATATGAAACTTTCTTGAAGAGCAGGAGACAAATTTTCTCTGGGGCGGCAAAAAAATATGCTTTTCCATATTAGTTACATGTTATATCAGTTAATACTAATTTATTCCTGATGATCCGTAGAGGGAAATAGTTGTGAAAGACAGGTTTTTATTGCTTGCTCTACTTTTTTTTCTTAGAATATATAACAGTTACAGTAATGGAAAACCTACCACACTCAGCATACACGATTTTTTACAGACTTTCGTCTCTAGTAGTACTCTGTGCCCATATGATTCAGTGTAAAACAGAATCTTTGACTGACCCAGATTCAATCATTTAAAAAGTAGCTTCGCTACAAAAATACCTGTACTTCAACCAAAACGTAATTTTGCAGCCGAGGTGTTTCGTCAACGCCTCTCCGCTAAAAGCGGCGAGTACGCCGAACAAATTCTCCATCCACACTTTGGCGAGCTGATCCAGTACGTGAAGGAGTGCGAGCACTATATGGAGCACGCAGATATGAAGAAACTCAAGCAGTTAGAACCCAAATCAGTGGAGATCGCGCATAATTTCACCGCCAATTGGAAGAGTTCTTTGGAGGCACTCAACAGGGAGGTGCTCATCTCATTTCCGAATCTCGTCACAGGCTCCAGTTTGTTGCAGTTAGCGCTCACTCAGCTCGTGCAATATTATCACAGGTATGGCTACTTGTCTGTTCATTTAAACTTTTTGTATAAAAGTATGTACCCATTAAATCCGTTTGTCAATCGCAGGTTAACGTTCAAAGTTGGTAATTATAACTTTGAAGATAACTACCAGTTTCCCGTAAATTGTTTTTTTTTTCGATTCTGGCCAACTAACCCATAATTTTTGATGTCCCAACGCTGTTTCTGTCTCTGCACCATCGCGTCCTCTACGTTTCTTAACACTCAGAAAGCTTGGCGTTGGCTTCTTTAGCGACACGCAGTATGGTTTCCACCGCCAACGGACAACGGGAGACCTCCTAACTTACGTCATATAACTCTGGAGTAAACTCATCTAGTCATATGGTGTGGCTCATTTCATTGCCCTTCCAATCTACGGTCTACTGGAGAAGCTTTGCAGATTAGTGGCCGACTTCCTCTAGCCGCAGGATATACGTCGTAATCGACGGGTTCTCTCTTCATTCCACAATGTCAACGCGAGTGTTCTCCAGGGATCGGTTTTGGCACCGACACTGTTTGTATTACATATCAAAGACCTTCTTTCCTGTACGCTCAATCGGCCTCCTATCCTAATCATGTCGAACTTCGAACATCCAGGAACTGGCGGTACGACCGCTCCTTTGTCCCTAAGGTGTCGAGATTGGGAAACAATCTGCATGATGAGGTTTTCCCAGTTCAACTAAGCTTAGTTATTCCAAAAATCTTGTCAACAAGGTATCTTGAAGCTCCTTATAGCAGCTGTGGTACCCTTTTTTCAGGCTTCTTCCTAAGCGACTGATTCGATATAAAAAATCACATTGCGATTGAACCACAACTTTTTAGTAAAGCCGCAGATGGTCCTCTGGTTAAGTACCATTTTAAGATAAACTTGACATTGAAGAACGCATTTTGAGAGTTAACTTCCAGTTACCAGTACAATTACAGTTAACTGCAATTGAAAACCCGGACCTGAGAATGCAATAGAAGTGCTCTTGAAAAGATTTTCAAGCGGTTTATAATCTGTAAATTTGGTTGATTCGTCAGGTTGATGATCAGACTTGTTCCCCCTCCTACAAGCAAATGAAACTTGAAAGTGTCATTAGTAGAACTTGATTTGCACCAATTTACCCAAGGAGGTGAATTCTTTTCCAAATCGCAGATACGCAATTTTTTTCCGAAATTGTCTCATAGAAAACTTCTAAATTCTATGTACCAGAATTTCTATTTTCGCTAGTCAAAATTTCCATTTTCCCTGTTTGGTAGTCATTGTTACAAGCGAATGAGATTTTGTACACCTCTAAGCCAAAGCCCTCTGAACGCGTTTTTTAGTCAGGTCAGTCCCAAAATGGAAGAAGAAGAAGAAGGTCATACTAATTAAGTTGTAGTTAAATTGCAATGCTTAGCCTGTTTTCATTGACAGTGTCTTGTTGACACAAGACATAAATACCGAGCATAGAGAACGCGAGAGCGTAAACTTGAAAAACGAATGTATAGAAAAGGTAATTAACTTTCAAGTTATAAATACCCAACTTGGAAATTAACAAGCAATTGAGTAACTGCGCCTTAGACCCGGTAAATTGTAACTTAACTGCTCTCAATAAATATTTTTCAAGTGGAGGAATAGCTCTTGAGCTAAATCTCGATTATTATTATTACTATTATTGTTATGTTTACCATACAGTATTAGTTAACTTTAACCAGAGGACCACCTATGGTTTTTTTCACGACTATCCATCACGGTAGAATGACAGCTGATTATTTGGTGTTATTTCAAAATTCCCCTTATCGCCAAATGACTCATAATTCTGACGGATCCGTCAAGGCCAGGTAGACATAGCCCTATATTATTTTGTTTTTTGTACGCTACGGATTTATTTTGTATTTGCTAACAACTCTTTTATTTAGAAAAGTTCATTTGCATACAAAAAAGATGTTACCATCAAGTTTTACTATACCCCATTCGTAGTCGATTTACGCCCAGACAAAACACACCGTGCCCAAAAGCAACATTGTTCAGGTATTCTCCTCAATGGTCTTGGAATAATCTAACAAAATAAAAAAATAAGTGCAACATACTTTTCACAATTCTTTATTCGCTAGAAGTACTTGAATCAACGTCAACGAATGGTTAATATTAATTATTACAGGTTCAATTTGAATATCGATCATATTGTCCAGATCTCACATCTTTTTTCGATTGTCCCTTGAACGTGACGGATGCAATCTTTCCAATGGTTTGCCGTCACTCTGTTGACAGCTTCATAAAACAAATTTCGTCAGAAAATTTGAAGCCACATAGTTTTTTATATTTGCGGGAATCATTTCAATTTGTTGCAATGGGATTTAATTAGCAGTAATAAGGGGGTAGCCTTAAAACGGTCTTATTTTGGTTTTTAGCCATTTCGTCAATAACAATAAGATTATATTTATATTTGTGCTGCCTGACTAGATAGATAAGTTCTGCTTTGACCATATTTTCATTGAAACTAATGTCTTTTGATAAGAGCCACTGTTGAATTTCTGCCTGTCTTGTAGACATCGTGTAAATTAATTTTTTCTAGTTTTCTAATGTGGTATGCATTATCAAGTACAATGACGGCATTGTCGTCAACCTTTGGGAGCGTTTCTTCAAATCATCGTTCAAATGAACTCCCGTCCATTTCTTAATGATAGTCGGTCGTTTTCTTTGACTCAAATGCCCATAGAGCAGTGGGCAAAGCCATCTTCACTGCCAATGTGACAGATAACAAATCATTTTCCTTTTAAATAATTATTCCATATAGTATTAAGGAAAACTTATAATAATACAAGCAGAGTATCTAACAGGTGTTGGTTCCAAATCTAACAGATATAGCTAAGTTTAGTGTAGTTTTCAGCGAGGGCTCATAGATTCTGTCTACTTGATACCATTTTTACAACATAAATGACGAATTGGTTGGATACACGTACCTGACGGATTCTTTAGGCCAGTGGTTTGTCCATCTAAGAAGGCTTGCCTTGCTGATTTAATTTTAGAGTCAGCCCATACTTTAGGGTTTGTATGTCCTGCATTTATCCAGGTAATAAGTCTTCCTGCACTGGTCGCGGTATTTCTTCTCTCAAAATACTATTCCTGTCCCGTTTTCTATACTCGAAATGAAGTTCTTTGACTAAACTATAAAATGTGGTCCTTTTGAAAGTAGATAAGTCTTCATCACTATTAACCTCCTATAATACTTTTTCTATGGTGGGTCGATCCTGCCTTTTAAAAAATTGGACTTTGCGTCTGAAGGCAGACCAATCAAAGTTATCAACTGTATCCAACAGTTTCGTGCAATGCAGCCTCTTGTGTGGAGACAATTTATTTTTTTATATTCCTTAACAATGTTGAAAATTGTCTTAGGACATAAGCCTGTTTTGTTCGCCACATGTCTTTCAATATCATGAAATTTCATTTCAGGATGCTCTAAAATTTCGCTCTTATAAACGTTAAGGACAATTTATTTTGCCTGAATATTCAAATGTCCCTTCTTGTACCGTTTTCGGGGACGATACATCTTTGAAGAGAAAGCATGGCTAAAGGAGGTATTGAAAGAAATATTCTGTTTCTTTTGCTGTATCCGTAGACGACATGCTAACGTATAAACACACGCTATGTATGCACCGAATATGAACAGCAACTGCCGGCGTCGGCTTGCCAGCGATATCGCGGGCCTGAGTTCTATCCTGTCGAATCCTGCATTTGTTCATAGTTTTATGGCCGAATGACCAATAGCTATTGCAACGCTTAGGCAGCTGCCGCTTTGCCGCGCTGCATCTTTGTTGTGCCGGGGCGTAAATAGACTACGGAATATGGTATAGTTTTGCACCCGATTTATCATTGCCAACGGGTACAGAATAATACAAAGATGTCACTTGTTGATCAACTGTTCACCTCAGACGTCAAAACGTGATGGATACTCGTGAAATAGGGTTTATGGATTCTTTAGAAAGTTGTAGTTAAATCGAAATGTCTAAACTTTTTTGCTTGACATTGTCATGTCACTAATGACACAAGAACACAAATACCGAACATCACTAAACAGACAGAATATGATAGTTTTCACGTGAAAGCTGCGTTGCCGCATCCACAATTATGGATTAGTTAACCAGAACTTGAAAAACGAATTTATAGGCAAGATATAGTTACCAGCTGAACGTTGACCTGCGACTGAAAAATCAGGCCTAAGTAATTTGAGTCGCTGATTATGCGGAGCGCAATTCAAATCTTTTGGTTTGACTGGTACATCCTGTGCTTAGATATTTATTTTTAAACGATCCAATATCTGCATACGCTTTTAGAATAACCTGTTTATAATATAATTTTTTAGGTTCCACAAACTACTGAGCCCTCAGGTGCGATCACAACTAGTCAACATTCATCTCATCATGGTCGAAATTAAAAAATACAAGACAGCATTCTAGGGTGACATGTGTGATAAGTGGATACATTAATGTACATATTTCTGTAAAAATAAAATGAAGATTCCAGGTCATGAGGCAGTATTTCATGATTAATAAAAATGAACATTTGTTTCGACTGACTTGACTTTTTTCGACAATCTCTCCATTTCCAACCCTAATTTTCCTTTTCAATTTGTTAAATGGTGCAAAAATAAATTTTCCTCTTCATCAAAAATGTGGTCACTAATATTTCTGTTGGGTGAACAAAAAAGCAATTTGTAAACAACATTTATGGTATCTTGACAACGGTATCACAGTAGTTACATAAAATGATACAATAAAAGCAATAACAGGTATCAACAAATATAACCATATACAATTTGTGCTTCACTGTAAAAAAATAAGGCATACGATCATTTTTGTAAAAAAATATTGCATTACTTTGCGACATGATTAATAGTAAATCAATGTACATCAATATTAGTATTATCGTTAAAAACATTGTATTCTCATCTCTCATTGCTTAGTCGTGATAAATAACATAAAATATCTTGAAATTATAAAATATTCATGTTTCCATTAAAATGAGCATCGTGTGGCATAATGGCAAAGATTTGTATTAAAAACCAGTTTTATTTAATAAACAGATATTTAAGAACAAATGTACGGTGTTCTGCAATAATGGTCTAACCCTCAGTTTGATCTAAGTCACACCTTATATCCTGGCGACATCTATGAGGAAAGTCTTAAGCCACATTTTATCAAACCAGTATAAGGATTTACAACAAGGGCCTAACCCACAATGTGGAATAATCCATTGTTGAAAAACTGCTAGTTGAAGGTAGTACACAGATACGCTGCGTGAATGCGTATTGTTGACGTCGATTCCAGACATGTTAAAATAGTTGCAGTCTTTTTGTAAACTTTCAATTTGTCATGCAAAGACCTTTAAGGCGAGTACAATGGTTCATTTTATATAATGTTGCATGATATTTTCACAATTTGATGAGCGCTTGTGAAACACAACCTAAATAAATTTTCTGTCATTCTGTAAAGTATGGAGCAGGGCTGCGTACATGGTGTTTAGCATGCTTATATTGCATATATTTAAACCATATCTGGTTAGCTTAATAGCTCACATTGTTTTTCTTTTTCCAATAAATACATCACGATTTTATCGTAAATTAAAACTTCATCTCTTTATGCTGCATAAGGACTATCTGATGAACTTTTTTATGTCTGTCGTTAAGGATTAAATTACCCAGATGTCCTGGGTACAATAGATCGATTTGTAGATAGGAAAATTATTTATGTCTACCAACAACAATAGTTTTTATAATATTGTTTTTATTCATTTCCAGGATGAATAAAAGATCAAAATTGCTAGAAGCACTGGCAGAAGTGAATGATAAAAAGCATCTAAAATATAAAAAAGTTGGTCATACTATAAGAGAAAATGAAGTAAGGAAGAAAAAGGGAAAAAAGAGTAAGTAAGATACACAACCTATCATGACAATAGAAAAAGGCTTGCCAATTATAATAAAGAATATGTTTAAGCTAGGAACAAAGTTGTCAAAGCCAATCGATGATCAAGATTACTCTTGTATCTGCTTGAGAAACTGCACCAAAATTGAGGACAACGCTACCAGAAAATGATTCTTTGATCAATTTTGGAACATGGGCACTTTTGAGGGTAGATGTGCTCTGAGAGTCAAATCCGTAAAGGAGTATGACAAAAAGACATACAAAAAACAAGAAATCGAAGAGAACCAAGTCCAGAGAGTATTACAGTGATGATCTTCAAGTGCGCATAGAAATGTTTTTAAATAGCCTCCAAATCAATGGCAACCATGTTTGGGTAGCACTGTATCAGTTAAGAAGTAATAATATTATATGCGATAAGAGGGGATTGAATAGTGGTGGAAGAAACGCAATTGATGATAAGCGGATTCAAGAAATTAACCAGCATATATCCTCATTTCCTAGATATATAATTTATATAAGGAGCTGTCTGACCAGCCAGTGAGCCTTACAAAATACAAGAATGTGTTCTATTCAAATTTCAATATAAGATTCAAAACCCCTCATAAAGACATGTGTCTTGTTTGTGACACATCGCGCAGGCTAATTTCCTTAAGGGAATAGAAAAAGATACACTCGAAGCGAATCATAAGGAGCACCTCAAAAGTGCAGAGGATTTGCGAAATCTAATGAAACGTGACATAAAAGTCATGCAAACCGATGAAACGTTGGAAACTTTAACATTTGACCTTCAAAAGACACATCCAATGCCAAAATTATCAACAGGTATCATATACTACAAGAGGCAGTTAAATTTATTATACTTAGAAATATACGTTGGCAGTATAGGAAAAGGTATTTTTAATGTGTGGTTAGAACAAAAAGCAGGGAAGGGTACACAAGAGGTTGGTTCATGCTTACGTAAATATACAGGGCGTTCCTTAATGATATGCGAATATTTAAGGGTGAGAATCTACATGAAAAATTAATGTTAGTTTGCTTTATAAACTATGGTCCTAAAATGTTTCCTTACAAAAATTTGGGGTGTTGGAAGTTTTAGGGAAAAAATGGAAATTAATTAATATTTTCAGAACTGCTTCAGATATTTCACTGATATTTAGTACGTATTTAAAGTCAATAAACTTGCCTATTTTTCAATGCAAAAATAATTTTCAGCTTTAACAGTGGCGTGCGTACTGGTATTAACTGCGATATTTTTTAATTCCCCGTTCAATTTTAAACAAATGATCTCTCTTTAAGTGTTTGCCTTCGATACGCTATTTTTGAGTAAAAAAATAAAAACCGTTCTATTGTCCGAGAAAATTAATGTAATAATTGAAGAATGCAATTTAGCAATAAATATCTAATTGCTCTTGAATATGTCACAGGCTTTTGACATCTGACAAGTCTCTGTTATTCAAATCTGTTCGCTGTGACATCTTTTTTATTATTTAGTTTTTACAATCTTGTTAATAATGGTGAATTATTCAAATGCATAAATGGCTTAAATGCATTACGTGTATGGCCTTGCCGACGGTAATGGTGAGCAAGCCAGACGGATTTATCACCAGAGATATCCCGATCGTGCTTTGCCAGATAGTCGAACCTTTTCTAATATTCATCGTCGTCTTGTTGAAACTGGTTCTGTCCGAAAAGGAATATCTGAAGGTAGACCTCTAAGTGTGAGAACAGCTGAAATTGAGAAAGCAGTGCTGCACGAAGTCGAAGAACATCCTGAAACGAGTACGAGGAAGATGGCTAGATACTTAAATATTTGCCATCAAATTGTTTGCAGAATTTTTGTGGATTTTTTGTTATATCCTTACCATATTTTAAGAGTACAGGCATTACTTCCCATTAATTTTCCACGGCGTGTGACCTTTTGTCAGTGGTATCTTCAAAAAATTACACAAAATCCGCAATTTGAATCAATGATTCTGTTCAGGGACGAAGCTAATTTTTCTCGAAATGCCAATCAGAATTTCCACAATAATCATTTGTGGACAGAAGAAAATCCCTATGCCGTAACCGAAACCCATTTCCAACACCAATTTTCGGTTAACGTATGGGCAGGAATTATTGGCAACCACTTTATTGGCCCATTCTTCTTGTCGGGACGACTTGACGGACAGACTTACCTCAATTTTCTTCAACAACAGTTGCCTTTGCTGCTTGATGATGTTCCGTTAGTAATAAGAAACAATATAACATGCATAATGGTGCACCAGCGCATTTCAGTGTATCGGTTCGTAATTACATATTTACAAACTGTTTATCCAAATCGTTTGATTGACCGCGGTGGGCCCCAAGAATGGCCACCAAGGTCCCCAGACCTCAACAGTTTAGATTTCTTTTTGTGGGGCTATCTTAAGAAACTAGTGTACACAAGTCTCATTATCACTGTACAGGAATTAAGAGAAAGAATAGATGCAGCTTGTGATAGAATAAAAAACACTCCAGGGATATTTCAACGAGTGCGCAATTCCATGAGAAGGAGGGCGGAAGCATGCATACTAAGTGAAGGGGGCCAATTTCAGCAATTTTTGTAATCATTTCGTTGGTATTAGTGTTATGTTTATGTTGTCAGTTGTTGTTGTTAATTACCCCTAATGTGTTTATTTTTTTCCAATTAAATTAATAATAATTTTGCAAGCTAGACAATAGAACGGTTTTTATTTTTTTTACTCAAAAATGGCGCATCGAAGGAAAGCAACTCAAGAGAGATCATTTGTTTTAAATTGAACGGGGAATTCAAAAATAATTTTTATTTGGCAAAAAACCATTGGCGTACCATTTTTTTCTTAAAAAATATCGGTCAATGCCCGTACGCACGCCACTGTTAAAGCAAAAAATTATTTTTGTATTGAAAAATATACAACTTTATTAACTTGCACTACGTACTAAATATCAGTGAAATATCTGAAGCGGTTCTGAAAATATTAATTAATTTCCTTTTTTTTCCTAAAACTTCGAGTTTTTGTAAGGAAACATTGTTGGACCATAGTTTATAAAGCAAACTAACATTAATTTTTCATGTAGATTCACACCCTTAAATATTCGCATATCATTAAGGAACACCCTGTATAAACACAAAAGTATGTGCTCCTGTTAAAAAAACTCATTTTATGGTCAGACTCCTGTGGGGGTCAAAACAGAAGTATTAAAATAGTTTTGATGCTCATTCATGTTTTGCAAAATCGCCCCTCCCTTGAAACAATCTCACTAAATTTTAAAGAATTCATTCATATAAAAAGGTGTTATAGCGTCAGAAGACAAAGATGAACAACACAGAGACAACTAACTTGGAAGCCGGAGCTGCCGAAAGTGCGCCCGTTTCGCAACTCTGAAGAGGAGGCCAACAACAACAACAATTCCGTGGTCGCGGAACCAGAGGACGTGGTCGTGGAAGAGGAGCTTATGTAGCTCCAGCGTCCGATAGCAATTCAGGGAGTAAGAAATCCAACCACCCTGACAGTGCATCGGTCTCTAAAATACCACCAACAACAGACACGAGCCTGGAACCAAAGAAGAGGTCTACAAAGGCCTCGCCACTTCAGAACGATACTATGTATCAAGATGTGGATCTCGATGGGTTTTACCCAATGAGACAAGTCCACGCGGATCGGAAGTTTGCGCCCACTTTCGAGGGTTTCTTACCTTTATGTAAAGAGACCTTCAACCAACTCTGCGTTGCAAACAAGTCAATTGCAAAGTACATGAGCGAGTCAATGGCAACGTGGTATTTCCACCAACACTTGTACGCCAGGATTATGGCTATCAAAAATCACACCGGAGACATAACTGTTGAGGAACGCGGGATGTTAGATATTTACCGCAATAAAAACAACCAATATCCAGTCCCTGCTCCTATTGATAGTTACCTGCGCAGTATAGGTGATTTCAAAGATGCCTCGAACGCTTTGTACCATGCCGATTTTTCACCGTACCAGCTTAACACGCATGGACACTTCGGCAGAATGGGTGGAGAGAATCATTACCTTTACGAATCTTTTCCAGCCCCAGCAATAGTGACTAGAGAAGCAGAGACTGTTCACAGATAAGGACTCTATGGAAATCATGAAGGTAGGTCAAAGAAAAAATCAATTCAATCATAACAAACCGTAAGTTTGACTCAGTTACCAAAGACACTGTAAGTTGGCTGAAAACTCACGTGATATTGATAAAAAAGGACCCACCATTCTATACATGAAAAAACATGTCGCATATCTCATCTGTACCACAGTGAACATAGAAAGTGCAGGAAAAGTAAGAAAGTTTGCATTTGGAAGACTAGACCTACCGCCTCTGTGATCAAACGGTAAACAAATTTCAGCAGAAAAGGTAAAAGACTTGACAGATATATAAAAGTTAATTCCCGATGGCTGCAAAGCCGCTCTACAATTTCCAGAAAACCATTGAAGGTGACGATTTTCAAGAAGATGTAGAAGGACTTGGACCTACTCCAGATTTTGAAATCGACGAGGAGCAATTGGAAGATCTTGGTACAGTTGTCGAAAATAATAATCACTCACTTATCTAAACAAACTAATTATTTCAGTTGGTAGTCTATTGTTGCAAACACTTTTATAACGATTTTTGATTTTGCAACAATGGTCTAACCGGTATTTTTATTTTTTTATCCAGTAAATAATAATTTTTTGTTTAAAATGTTGTGCCTTTGACTTTCATGAGTATCTATAGTTCATTTAAAAATTATAATAAAAGTTATTTTTCAATCTGTGTTTTTTTAACGCGATCTAATACAATATGTTAATTATCTCACAACGACAGGTAAGGGGGTTATACCATTATTTCAGAACACCGTTCAAATAATATATTACCTAAATTAATTAAAAACTTGTAATAAGTTAAAAATCACCCTTTAAACATTATCGACAATACTATAGAAGTAGAAGGTCAAGCACTTGACATAAGAACTTGACACATTCATGCAATATATGAACATCAATTTGTTGCCTGTTTATTTCGTAAAGAAAGGGCCGTTTGCATATATTTGATTATTGGTGGATCTAACGCATGCGCTGCCATCTCTTGTTTGTTTCCGAAGTCATTGTTTTAACTCAGTAGTCGATTCCTTATCAACAAATGGTCCTGTTTACACCACAGGTAGCTAAGCACTAAGGCTCGTATCGTCAGTCGTCCCTACAATTGTAGGGGGCGTTTATGGCCTCCTTGATTGTCATACTCCTTTCTCTCCTTCAAAAATTTCTAGATTATACTTGTTCCGTGTCAGCGTCAGCGCTCTCCTATTGTGAAGATACGTTTTCTTTTTAAATTGTACGAAATTTCAGGCTGATAATACATGATATAACTCAAAAGCAAGCACAATTTGATGCGAATAGATGTTTGTGACATAACCTCAAAATAGAGTTCAGACACGGAGAAGTGGAAAACTATGACAATCAAGAAGGCCATAAACGAGCCCTACACTTGTAGGGACGACTGACGATACGGGCCTTGGATATAGTCGAAATAACCTAACTTCGCAAAATCATAATATAAATTCATTGTCATAATATATGTTCCTGAGATCGTGATTTTATCATTGACATACGTCCCTTGATTACTTCAGTACAATTTATGGTATGACGTAATAGTCATCCTTCGTGATTTTGACATAGCCTCAGACCACAATAGTTATTGCATAAACGTTGTTCTAGGCCAGTTTACACCGTGGCTATGGTGTAAACGGTGAAAACATGGCCAATAATGTCCGCGACGATTGTTGATCTCGCCAATCAAAATAAGACACCGCAAAGCGCCATCAATTACCAGAATCGAGCACTAGAGAGTGTATAGCAGCTATCGGTTGGAACTACAAAGATATCAGTTTGCGTTTGATAGCTCAGTCGCCATTCGCAGTGCTCGATTTTGGTAATAGATGACGCCTTGCGCTGCCTTATTTACATAGATCTCATACCTTGGATAGAGGATAGTAGCTTTGTTTTCGTTAGTTGTCCCAGAGAATAAGGCTAGACCATTCTGATGAGTTACTAAAAAACATGAAACAGATGTCCATGGGTTGCTGTCTGGTCTGGCGGACGAAAATAGACTAAAAGCCGATCAAGACCAAAAAAAGTTTTCAAATGGAAATCTGTAGTTAAGTTAGTTTCATTTTAATATTGTTCCAATTTTTTCATTAGCCTCGATGGGTGAAATGTTATATGAAAGTCACCTAATTTTTGTTTCTTTCAGCCTTTTTAACTAACGGAATTTGTCATTCTATTCCATATACGTGAACTAAACCACGATCGTATTCAGACAACCGGTTAAACAACCTTCTGCTTACTTGGTTGCCTATGGTGGTGCCCTGTCTCCTCTCTTGTTCTGGTTCGTTCACTCACAACTAGTTCGCTTGGATTATAGGGATCCTGTAATACCAGTCGGTCGTAGTGAACGAGTGAAGAATCACTAACGTCTAGTTGATCCCACCATTTGCGAAGTACTTGTAATTTGTTTTTTTGCGCAAAAGGATCTACGGCAGCTCAAATTCACCAGAACATATGCCTAGTTTATCGATCGACTATTATGAAAGAAGAAAAGGATAAACAATGGTGTCGAGACTTAAGACCGCTGCACAAATGAAAATGATGCAGAGCGATGTAGAAGACCCACTATCCAGACCGATAAACTCGTTCAACGAGTGGACCAACACTCCGATCTGATCAACGATTGACAATTAGTGGCCTAGTTTATGCATTTCCTCTTGTTGGATGCACCAGGATATAATTAGAGGAGGAGGATAGAATTATCCTCCATATGGTGCCCTGTTGATATCTAAGGGCTTAGCTACCTGCAGTGCAATAATATTATTGCCACTTGTACCTGAAATAGACCGTGATGGCCGAAACCTCGTCAGTAAACAGGGTTAAAACCATTTGTGCTTACATTTAGCGGTCAAACAAACTATAAGGATTATCAGCATGGACACCATAGGATACGTTTCAGGAGTTCCACATTCAAAATTGTCATAGAAAAGATCATCTATCACACATTATAGCACCGAATTACGGCACGCAATTCGAAACCCAAGTGAATCAAATCACTACAGAATCGAAACAATGACGTTAGTGACCTCGAAACAATCAGTAGATGGCACTGCTGCGTTCAACTTTGTCAGCCCTGCCTGTAATTAAATATACGCATACTTTACGAGTATGCCTCGTAGCATTAAAAGATGAGAATACATCACATGTCAATTCGTTGTTTTAGTTTTTAGCCTTGGCATCTCCTATAAGCCCCCTTTCACTTCTTGACCAAGTACATGCTTGAAGTAAGCCGCGTTCATTTGTTCTAAAAAAACGAAAGTTAGGACCGTGTGTGGACCTAACCTGAAGTAATAGGGCATAAACCCTTTCCAAAGGGCGAAGACTCCCTCGTTGCGAATGACCTTCCCTAGAACGTCAAGTGGCCCTTTAAACTCTGGCTTGCCATCTATTGTCTTCATATTCTGGATCCTGTAAATGTTAAGGCATTTTCAGAGTTTCATCATTGATTAACATACTCTACCTGAAGATAACAGCCAATCTAGTACCATATTCACGCTTGGGAAAAATTGTTCGAGGTGAAATAACGTAGCGTCATCTATGAGAATTTGTCACAGCTATGTTTCTCCCCTCCGCAATAATTGATAATAATATCTATTCACTCACAGTACAATGACAACAAAATAACTAAATAAATTTTAAATAGAAACAGGCCCAATATGAGGCATTGCCTGTGCATTGACCAATAATTTCAAGCTGCAACAATAGAATACAAATTATAAAAAAGGACAAGAATTATCACTGTGGATATATATGTGATATTCGTATTTATGAGTTTATGAATTTCAATCCTAGATTTTTCTATATATATAAAATATTTTAGCTACCGTTGCCCCATCGATATTAGTATACTCCCAAATTTATCAAAAATATAATATGCCTACTTTTCGAGAAATCTATCCATGGAGTTCCCGATGCGATACCCTGTATATATATATATATATATAATAGGAGCATATATATATATATACACCTACTTCATTGTCGAACTCCTGAAGATGACAGCAAAGCCTGTCTAAAGCTTGAATATTTGCAAGTCAGAAGGGTACACTTTGCTTAATTTGTCGATATCCCCAAAGACAAGTCTTTCATTTAACTAATTATTATCGACAATAACTATGAATCGCATATATATATATATATATATTTCTCTTGAGTTGACAAATTTATGGTAGTGAGTAATAATGTGTAAGAAATAAAGCTGTCTTATACATTTGTAGATCTGCGTAGAATTTATCAGTGGGATAAAGTTTCGGAACATAAATTTTGAAACATGCAGCTCCCCATGCTATTACGTTATACCAAATGTGAGATGAAGCTCAATCAGTGTATGGTATGTACGAAGATACCTTTCTGTAAGTTTAATGCAAAGGTATTTAACTTTTATGTTACAAACTTTCTTTCTCCATTGACATGGATGTCTCCACGTAAGTGAGTATCCAACATTATTCCAAGGTAGTGCTTGGAACTCCAATTTGTAGTTTTTTATCATTAATATCGAAGGAAGATATCTGTGTAATTTGGGAAACGTCTAGCATAAGATGCAAATGGTAAAAATGTATTTAGAACAGTTAATGCTCAATTTTCTGCTAAACCACCGAAAAATATCGACCGAATCATATTCAGTTACATTTTTCAGATAAGATCAGTCATTACCTTCATACAATATTGCAGCACGATCTGCAAAACTAGTTATATTGGCACCACATCTAATTTTGAAAATATCGTTTAACTATATACATATAAAATAACAGTGGACCTAAGGGAGGTTACCGCACTTGATATACATTTCCTTGCTAAATGATCTGGATATTTGGACAGATTGTGGGCGGTTTGATAGGTAATTTTCGTTCAGTGAGTATGCTTTTCCTCTAAAACCAATTCTCTCCAATGTTTCTATTAATAATTCATGATTTACTGTCTCGAAACATTTCTTTAAATCAACAAAAATGCAAATAGAAGGAATTTTGTTATCAAAATTTTGATGTATTTGATTATAATTACTGCACCCGATGTAGACTTCCCTTCTATAAATCAATATTTATTTTCATTAAAATTTTGTATTTTGTGAGGTACTGAACCATTCTAGTAGATAAAACTTTTTCATAAACTTTTGCTATACTGGATATTAGTGATATTGGTTGATAATTATTAATATCTGTTTTTTTCCAGATTTATGTATCGGCATTGCATTCATTTTTTTAATTGACTGGTATATGCATTTGTTGATTGGGTAAGTGAGTGGTTCTGTTATGTCCTCGGCTATAATTTTCAAATACTACTTTTTATTCCATCGAGCCCAGAGCTTTTTCGATTTTATGAGGACATAAATGGTGTATACCTCACGTTATTCTGCTCTATCCAAAATAAATCAATTCAAAGATCTTTTTGGAAGATGAGTGTTAGGCACATTTTTTTGTCTATTATTTGGTAAATTCTCACCTATATCATTAAAAAATTCTACAAATTCATTGCATATTTGTTGAGTATTTTTGATTACTGCTCCCGATGTTACGTTTAATTCAGTGGCACACTCTTTAAATTTTGTTGCTCCAGAGATCTCATCGATAGTTGTCCAAAGCCGTCTAGGATCATTTAATTTATTATCCAATTTATGTAGGTAATCTTTTTGTTTTGTTTATCTCGCAAGCTCAATGAATTAATTTTTATACTGGTTGTACCAGTCGATATTTTCTGTAGTTGGCGCTGGTTTCATCGCTTTTGAAGGGAAGTCGACTTTAAAAAGGTTAGTGTTTAATCGATGGCATTGTAACTATATGCTAATATATAGTTGGCTACAGCGCCAGAGACACTAACCCTTTCAAAGTAGATTCCTAATTATATGTGACAAATTTTCATAGTTGCTACGGTATCTCATTTCATCTCGGATAATTTTTCGGACGCCCGAATATACTATTAAGTTGGCTATTTTCAGGTAGAATATGTTAATCAATTGTTTCGGTAAAGCAAAGCTTTAAAGCGGTAGCGTGGTAAAAAACGCTCGCTCTTGGTTGCGGTCATACCGATGCGATGGTTGTGAGAATGCCAGATGTCATAATATTATGATACAGCAATGTATATGCAAAGATTTTTGTCGATTTTACAGCATAAATGAAACGTTTATGTGCAATGTGAGCACCGCTCTCGAAATATAGCCATGCTTCGCCTGATCAAACGAATTTCGCAAGCGTCAAAGTAGCACATTGCGTTCTTAAGACATAAATAACTATTACGAGGATAAGGTGAAAGGTTTTCGGCCTGGCACAGATATAATGCTCCAATCTACGAACATTTATAATTCCTTTGTTTGGTCGTATGAAAACTTTCAAGTTGTTCTCTCAAGTAGTTTGTCTACATAACATGCATTTTTGAAGTGAACGTCTTGCGTTAGAGGATAAACTTGATATATTATTATACGAAATGCGTCCAACAGAAATCTATATATCTAGGAAGCTTAAGTGTTGGCCTAGTTTTTTACATAATTGCCATTCCGGTCGATGCATTTTTGTAGAAGCTGCGGCAAGAACAGACCTATGTTTAAGTCTTATAATAATGTATCAACCATTGTAAATAAATGGTTGATTGTACCGTAAAATAGTAGGCGACAATACTTTTGGAATTACCCTCGTATACGTTCGTGCGTCGAGTATTTTTATTTGCCTGTGCAATGAATTGGACAATTACTCGCATATATTGACCTTGTCCTCTATTTTATTTATAGCAAACATAAATTATTCCAGATTTAATATAAAAGAGATCTATATCAAATAAAGCAATTTCAATCATAATATTGGAGAAATTTGATAAATGTTCTTTACCATTCATCTTTAAATGACAAGGCTGTAGCAATTAAAGGATTAAAAACAACAACCTTGTTATAATTATAAATAGATTGAATATGTATCAACTGTTTGTATATATTTTGTGTTTTGTGTGAGATGTAAATAAATGCATAACATATACCAAGGACTCCATTGTCTGGCCAAATAAAACCACATGCTTTTATTTCTGTTTATTGTACTTGAAAAAGGCCTCCATGGTGGCCAAAATGTCATACAATAAACATAAAACATGTGGTTTGATTCGGCCAGACAATGAAGTCCTATGAACATGAAAACCACTCGGTAAATTTCAGGAGTACATTATGCGTATGGGTAAATATATGCTATATCCCAAATATGAGATTTCAATGTCAGTGCCAGAAAAATCTTAAGCAAATCGACATATTATGGAAATAAACATTCCAAATATTACGAAATATGCTTTATTTGGAACATATGATGAATTTGAGATAACAATTAGGATTTAGGCACACCATGCTTGGAACTTGACAAAATGTATGCACCATTCCCGACTTTCACTACCAACATGAACAAATCTCTGTATATGGATCTGGCATAACAATATCCAAAACTCTTTGTATTGCTGGATACACATTATACAATATTTTCATGAAAAGGGACACGAAAAGTTTATATAAACGCATACAAAAAACGCGTTCTTAGTGGTTCCTTAAAATTGTGTCATCCCCACTTGGCACAATTAAAATTGCATATTTTCGTGTAAATGTGAAAATTTCGTGATTTGACCTTTATGAATGTGTACAAAATCAAGAAATGATAATTTGAAACTAGCGCGATTTGGCCTACTGAAACCAGTAACCAGTTGCTCACGTAGTGGCGGAAGATACCATTAGTTTCAGAATTATAAAGTCATGAGTCACATACAAAAATAAAATAAATGATGTATCTTCATTTTTTTCCAGGTCATATATGTTTTTATCCCTACGCTGGCGTCATTTCCCTGGAAATTTTCATGTCAATCGTTTTTTCTGCTGTCCTTTTTCTACTTTCCACCTTTTGTAATTTCTTTACAATAAAAAATATAAACTATGAATGCAATGGCTGCTACTCGCTATAAAAAAAATTCTAGCTTCCAACCACAACTGTTATCCAGAGGGTCTGTGATCTCTCAACCTATATGATTATTTTGTTCCAAGACCAATGTCATGGAAGACTTGTCGATTTTAATAAAAAAAACTATTGACTTTATTTAGTTAAAGGCATCTATATCTTATTTTAAGTAGGTGTATAATGTTTCTTAGTTTGGATGTCACCCTCCTGGCCACACATTTTCCCCTGGTATCTATAAAAGCTGTCAAAATGAAAATATGTATCACACAGCCTTTTGTGACATAATGAATATGAAAGTTATTTTTCTTAGTTGACATTGAAAACCTAAATACTTAATTACCCACATACAAGTAGACTATATACAATAATCTTACCTGGTCTTTGCTATATCAACAGGCATTGAGGCAGCGGTTGTGATCAAACCAGAGATCATGGAGGCAACAAAATGCAGGAAAATACCTTCACTAAGTTTCAAATTTTCGATCAGCAGCTGTTTGGCCTGTCAATAATCAAAATATTTTACAAAAGATGCAGACTCAAAGTATATGAATGTAAGTAGTATGTATTGAAGCTTAGCTTGACATAATATATCTAGCTTTCTCCTACTCCAATATACAGGGTGATTCACAAGTCGTGACCAAAAATGAAACAGAACACAGGACCGCATTTTAACGGGGGGTCTTCTATGTAACATTATTTTCTCGAGGGCTTCATTAAAAAGATACGGGCTGTTGAAGTTTAAAAATAAAATTCAATTTTATGAATATCTTCAAAACCGTCAACTGGAATGAACTAAAACACGACAAAAGTCCTTAACTTAAAATTAACTGGAGATACAGGGGATTAGTTACATTATTTTTCCAATAAAAATACTACGCCATTGTTTTTTTTTTTCGAATCGCGCAATTTTTCGAACTTTACCATCAATTTGCTACAAATAATTACTCTTGTTTTTTTCTAGAGTGCACTGTTTTCGTAGAAATAAAAATAAAACAAATTAGATCATTCATGAAGAGCCGAGATACAATTAGTTTCAAAATAAAATAGTAGGCCTTGATACCGACTTGACGTTTCTTGGGAGATTGTCAAAATTATGTATTATACGGTTATCATTACTACTACCTTTTTTTAAAAAAGTCAAGTCAAAAGTTTCTTTTTTCCATTTTTGAGTGCTGTGGCGGGTTCTGTAATGTAAATGCAACGATGGATTGGCAGAACCGGTCCCGTAGATTGGCCTGCGAAGGTCTCCTGATTTGAATCCCCTGGATTCTTTTTGTGGGGCGCTTTCAAACAGCTAGTATATTCTGAACAAATTAGTATTGTTGATCAGTTACAAGAAAGAATAGATAATGCGTTTCATCAAATACAAGCCACAACAAATTTTGCGGAAATACGTTTATCTTTATTAAAACGATGCCGCACTTGATCCGTCAGAATGATAGTCTTTTTGAACATTAATTAATTGAAATAAAGCTTTGATTATCTAATTTGTTTTTATTTTTATTTTTACGAAAACAATGCACTCAAGGAAAAAACACAAGAGTAACTATTTGTAGCAAATTGAAGGTAAAATTCGTAAAATTACACGTTTTGAAGAAAACAGTAGCGTAATATTTTTATTTGCACGTTAATTTCAAGTAAAGACTTTTGAATGTGGATAATACTTAGGTAAATCCACATACCACAGTTTATTCATTCCAGTTGACGGGTTTGAAGATATTAAAAAAAATTGTGTTTTATTTTTAAACTTCTTTTTGATGAAGCCCTCGAGGAAAAGATGTTACATAGAAGACCCCCCTTAAAATGCGGTTCTCTGTATGATTTTTCATTTTTGGTCACGACATGTGGATCACCCTGCATATATAGAATGAATTATATTAACGCCCGGTATAGTTCATTGAACTGAGATTGCTCCTGGTGTAAGACCAGAGTTAGGATGCAAAATTTTTTATACTGCCATCTTTCAAAGAAGTGTTGGAGATTATTGGGATATTTTCTAAACCGAAGACTGCTGATACAAAGTCCTTTCTTGAAGATTAACGGTTCGAGGTAGATCAATGACATAACTGACAATTTTTTTCCACTGGTAACCCAGTTCTTTACATTAAAAAACTATACTGAACGAAAGCCAAAACGAAAATAGAAACACAAGAAATGCTGAAAAAGAAAAAGAAAATGGATTTCAAGAGGAAGATATAATAAAAATGAAGGATTATACAGTTTACATACAAAATTTGTTGATAAAAGAGCAGCAAAAGAAGAAAGCATATCTGCAAGCGAAATTAGATGAATTACAAATAGATAAAATTGAAACTGAATCATTTGCAGATGTTGTGCAGTACAACAAAGAAAAGAAAAAGTAGTAAATCTAGATAAAGAAACTGACATTACTGAAGTTCCCACTCTGTCGAACAACAATAGAACTTGAAACACATGCAGAACACCGAGTAACAGTCAAAGATACAAACAGTAATTGAAATTTTGTTACTTCTACAGTACATCCAGAAAAGACAATTATCATAAAACCAAACGATAAAAATCAAAACTGTTTACAAACAAAAAAGCTACTCAGCAAACATATAAATCCTGCAAAAATGATCGTCTCCATAGAAACAATTAGAAATCAGAAAGATGACTACATCACAAAATTGAAATTAGAAGTAGAAAAACATATAGGACACAGTTATAAAGTGAGTGTTGGGCATAGGAAATTATCAATGATTAAAGTATTAGGCTTCAGTGATGAATTCGAAAAAGCTTACTATGGAGACAGATCATAGTAATTCCAAAAAAAAACAGGCTATAAACTATATATACAACTTAAAAATTCAAGGGTTTTTGTCACATAAAGATGAGATTTTAAATTTCTTGGTGTTAGAGAAATCATTAATACTTTGTTTAACAGAATCGCATAACAGAAGATATTGAGGAGGGAGAGGTCGATGTTCACGGCTATCATGCTGTAAGAGTAAACACTGTTTCAAAGCATACAGGAGGTATATTGACATATACACTATATAGCATTGAAGTCAGGGCACAGAACATTGAAGTCGTTGAATATCATAATAATAAAAAATTACAATCTGTATATTTAATACCGATCTCAAAGTGGAAGCGCCAATCGATGGATTGAATTTTCTGAAAGTATAGATGAAAAGCATTATTCCAAGAATTGCACAAATCTACATTTAGGAGAATTCAATATAAATTTTGGCAGTAAAGATCTATAAATTAAAAAAGTGCTAAACTTCCATGGATTATGGCAGAAAATAAATGACAATACAAGGATTACGAACTTTTCGATAGATTTGCTCATAACTAATGAACAAAATCTAATTGCTGCATGCCCCAAAATAAGAGATCACTCATGGATATATTTCGAAGTGGAAAATGTATTCAATGTAAATAAAATGGAAGAAATTACAGCAACTGATTTAACAAGGTTACAAGAAACCCTTTTACAATACAATATTCCTGAAAGTATCAATAATGCATACAACTACTTCGAATAAATTATGGATAATATGGATAAATATATGCGAGAATCTATGGTCAAAAAAATAGTATATGAAAAGGTGAACCAAACACCCTGGTTTTCACAGATATTCAATGAGTCTAAATTAAAACACGATGACGGCTACAGAAAATATTTAATAACGCAAAGTGAAAATGATTGGAATATACAAAATCAAAAAATGAGTGTTTAGCAGTTCTCGAGAGAGAAAATAAAAAATACTAAGATAATAAGATCGATAGCAATAAAAATAATTCTAAAATGATGTGAAAAACATTGAATATTGTTTCTCCAAATAGAAATACTGAATTATTTAACATGCATTTCGAAGATGTGTCTGGAGTCAGAAAAAATAATTATATTAGAAAGAAAAAACACTTATTTTATAGACAGTATAGATCAAATAGTGAAGATTGATGAAGGTGATCAAACATATGCTCATTACAAGTATATCACAATTCATCAATGAATCAACTTAGGTCGATAAACATCAACAATCTAAGAATTTAAATCTAATGAAAATCCAAGTAAGAATCTCTCAAAAAATATTCTAAACGACATTAATATAATTGGAGAGAAATCATTATTAGTGGTGAAAGATTGTTTAGTACATGGCGAATTCCTATCAAAATTAAAATGGTTTACCATCACTCATGTGCGAAAAGTTCAACAGTTTGATATATGATCTGATGAGACAAAAATTAATAGGTACAGCACAGATGGGCGACTTGGAAAAAAGGCGAACCTTTACAAGCAAAGGATTTTATGCAAACAGTGAAACATGTTGGTGGTAACATCAAACTTTGGGGCTGCTTAACAGCTTATGGTGTGGGACCAATATACAAAATCGATGGAAATATGGATGAAAAAATGAATCTCAACATTCTTAAGACACTTTTGCTGGAAGCTGTTGAAAATATGCCATATCCTGTGACTAAAATATTATTTCAACAGGAAAACGACCCCAAGCATACAGCAAAAATAGTAAAAAATTAGCTTGTTAAGCGACATTTTCAAGTCCTTCTGTGATCATCTCAGAGTCCTGACATCAATCCCATTGAGAATTTATGGGCATATTTGAAAAGCATGCTATTAAATGAATATCAAGCACCATCACCAAACTTAAACATTCTATGGAGACGTGTACAACAACAGTAGTACAAAATTCCACCCAACTACTGTGAAAAACTCATTAAAAGTTTGGTAAACAGATTACATGCTGTTAAAAAAGAAAAAGGTGTGAACAAAATATTAACAATATGTTTTTGTTATATAATATATATATTGAAATATAATAATTGAAATAATTATGTATTAAAATTACTATAAGAACTTATTAGTTCCTTAATTAGAATTATAATAAATAAGGTTTTCAAATATATTTAGTAGTTAATCCCAGCTTTACACGCTTTTTTTTATTAAAACATAAGTTACAAATTCAATTTTGCACCTAACTGTATGTGGATAGTAAACTACTACTTTACACGCATGATAAATACATTATTTCAAAAATATCAAAAAAGAAATTATTTCCCTGTTTCCCATAATCTATTTTTATAGTGTTCAACCATCTTGTTTATACTAAATGAAAACATATATTCAAAATTACCGATTCTACAAAATACAGCTATGAGAATCATTTAGAAAAAATACAAATATGCTAGGATTAAGTCTATGTTAGAAGAACTACAGTGGTTGAATGTAAGAAATGTTATTTAGCTTTCATTTTAATATTCAAATTGAAAAATCATTTATATCCACCACATTTAGAAAACTTCACAAAATTGAATAGTCATTATCATAACTACAAAACTAGAGGCAGTATAGATTTTCATCTACAAAATTGTAATATTAGCATAACAAGTAAATATGTATTTCAAAAAGGAGTATTTGAATTTATTAAATTGAATAATGCTGTTAAACAGTGTTGGAATTTAAAAATGTTTACGGTTTATTTAAAAAATCACTTTAGGAATACTCAAAATTCATAGTGATGTAATTTTAATAGACAAAAATGTAAAATTACAGAAAATGGATTCAATAAATGTGTAAACGAATAGTTATACAAAATTGACATTGTAGTATTACCTAACGCTAAATAAATTTTCAACAAACACATAAATGGGATAGGAATGCTGCAATACCAATTTTTTGTGTAAAGGATATTAAATAAACCTAATTTTTGTAATTATTACTTGAGAATAACTGGCCAACTGTGCAGCATTGACCACCATAGCTCTACCCATGGTTGGAACAGCACCTCGCCATAAAGTCAATACCCCCTCTTCTTTGACTATTCTTGCAAGTGCATTGAAAACACTTGAGTAGTTCCTACGTTCCAAAGGTGGAAGCCTCCCATCAGCTGTCATTCTAATTAAGGCCACTTCTGCTGGGGTCCCTATGTTACAAAAAAATAATCTAGATTGCTAATAGATAATATTTTGCAACATTTTACTCTAATGTTTAACGCAAAATAATGAATTTGTTTTTTCCATAGTCTAGATGCAATCAAATAGCAGACAAAATCCCATTATATCAATACATATTAGTAAACAAAAAGTATGGGAGTTTGTTGAAGAACTGATCTCTGATGACCACTACACCCATAAAGCTATCATTTTAGCTGTCAGGTGGGATATTATTTGTTGATCTAACAATAATCTAAAAAAATACCACTCTGCAATCTTGAAAAATTAATTTCGTAATCTTACCCACAAAGGCCCCACACATCCCCGAGACCATGCCGATAACCGCTTTTATGGCAAAGCCTGGAGGTTTTCCCTCACTAGATTTGGCTTTGTCAAAAAGAAAGGTGTATATTCCTAATCTAGCAGTGGTATAAGTGGCTTGTCTGAAAAGTCCAGCAGACAGTCCATTGTATAAACCAAAAAAGCCTTCCTTGGCAATGATACCTCTAGCTGCATGAAGTGAAGTAGGATATTCTTTGCCTTTGCTTAACTGCATTCTGTTTTTTATCAAGTCTAAGGGCTGGACAAATACTGTGGCCCCCATTCTGGAATTTTGAAGTAATTTAGAGATGCCATAACCTACGCAATAATAAAATACTTTACCCTGCTGTGCCCCCAAACAGAAATTTCAGTCCATTGGGAATTTGTTTATTTTCGGACATTATTGCACGATTTTGGCAAAAAAACGGGAATCCAAAATGAACACTGATAATTTAAAATTGCGAGTAGAAACCGACGTCAATGAAACTGGTGAGAAATGTTGTTGTTTGATCTTGCGAACGACGAAACACTAAAAAGCGAATATCAACTGAAAACTGATCAAGGATAAAACGACGATAAAATATACAAACTACAGATATGTCCGACGTTCATATAATGGGTTCACTTTAATTATTCCCTTATAGATGAATGTTAATTTATATTTGTTTACAGCACTTCCAATTCTTTAAAGGTGAAAAAGGTCATTCTAGCATTCTATCCCGTTCGGCAAAGTAATATTTAAATTTCCCGGTCCTACTCTGCCATCTGATAACGCATGCATTAACCTCTAGACGATAATAATAAAAATGTAAGAAAATTCTGTTTTGCGAAAACCGTAAAAGTTTCAGGCGCTTTCGGTAACAAGCAGAGATGGTAACAAGCTAACAATTATCAATACTCCTCTAAAGGACTCTGTCAGTATTTTTGAAGAAATATATAGATTATTTCCTCCCAAACAAGGCTAACCGATGATCGACCTCAAATGAATTAACTACAAATCCATTATTAAGCCTATCATGACATGCGTTTTCGGCTTCATGCTTTGTTTTGTTGCTACAGGTAATCCAGCAACCAGCAGAGCTCTTCGCTCCATAGTATGTCTCAGTGGGTTTATGATTTATCAAAGAACTTGCAACGGGCATTATATAAGGGCAGATGGCAGACAACCATTATAACCCTCTGGTATGGAAGGCTGTGGATTATTCTGTGGCTGATGTTCAAAGAAACAAACGTCCAAAGCTAGCCCTAGAATAAATTAATGCACCTTTATTAGCTGTGTTTCAATTCACAATTTCTATTATGTACTAATCTGATTAGATTAGGTTTTCGCTCCTTCTGCAAGGACCGCGGTTATAATATTGTTCAAGACGGGTTGATGACGTTAGCTACTCGAATCCCTTGAACGCGTTGGTTTTAACCGCAGTTTTGTTGCAAGTTGTTTATTTTAGAAAAGCTCGTATATAATTTCTGATTATTTTTATTATCACTTAATAATCGGTGCTTTTTCGTCTACAACGGTGTATGAAGTCACCTTTCATAATATCAATGGGAGAAATGTTTTTTTTTTCTGAAAAAAATTCTTAATGATGGAACGATGGCTTTGTAGCTATGATAACTTTCAATTCTCCAAACTTTTCCGCATGTCGAAGGAAAAATTTATTGATTCAACGGAAATGATGGGAAAAAGCGATGAAAAAAAGATATTAGCAAAACCGTATATAGGTGGACATCATCCAATGAGTTTATATGGCCATATTTTAATATTCTTGTGGTATATGGCTACACAGGATACTTTGTTAAGCATAGGAACTAAATTTAAAGTGTCCCCAACAACAGTAATGATTATAACTAATAAGGTGCTCTATTTTATGCTAAAACTAAGTCGGCAAAAATTAAGCTGAAATACAATAAAAATATCCACTACCCCGCAAAATTCTAACTTGTCACATTTCAAATAATAACCAGAAATATAAAACTACTTCTGAGTTGGGTAAATACCACAATTTTGCAGTAAGGATTTTTTCACGAGTTCACGGTGTAGCACAGTGCACTACCGGGAACCGATACTCAAATTGTCGCGAAGAACGGGAATAGGGGAAGACGGATGTGACGTCGTCCGAATGTCAAAAAATCACGTGGTACTGGTACCCGCCTGACGTCTGTGAGGTACTAGCGGGTGACAGGTCTTATGTCAATTTCATTTAAAAAACAGGCATCTCAATTGAAAATTTGTCGTCGCAGTGCCAAAAATTGAGTTAAATTATCAAATCATAAATGGAGGAATCCGTTCACCTGATTTTAAATGACGAGGTAGAAGGTCATCGAAGATATATGAAGCGCACTTGTCATATCAAATGATTGATTTTATTGCTATATATGTACATTGCACAAAAAACGATCGGTCTTTTTATTTCGGATTCAAACAAGGCAGCTAAGTTTATCAAGGAGCTTAAAGCAAACATTTTGCCAACATGCGCCATCTAACCGCGCCCGGTTTAACTTGGAACTGCCAAAACTTCAAGAGGAAGGGGAAATTCCATCTGTTCCAACAAATATCTGTTCTGTTCCCACTACGGGAACTCGCGAAAAAATCTCTAGTGATAACTATGACAGCTGATTCATGATGACACGGATCTTATAACCAAATTGATAACCACACTCGCTTGAACGGATCGGTAAATACCAGTCCAAAATGGTAAATACCATTTTCATTTGGTTATTCGCTTGAATTTGATTAATGTTTTTCGCCGCTACTGGTCCTACCTAAAACCATCAAACAGAAACATGACATCTCGTGTGGGAGCGTAACGAACCATGCTTCCAAGGTTGTAACGACCTTTGACGCGGGTCAAATTTACAGACAAGAGCCCCAACGTGCCATGTGGCGAACGTTGGACACATGTAATCCGTCAGCGCTCTCCCACACGATGTGGCGAATGGACATGTGTCCAACGTTGTAAGCCATTCGCCACATCGTGTGGGACCGGTTTGAAACCGTACACAGTAATGGAATGTAGATTGACAGATGAAATTTTACTCTGGAATACCTTTTGTGGAATACTACTTTATTTTTAGAACGCCTAAATTATTACAAAGTCATGTAATGACACTTGATGACAGCCGACCTTTGAGATATGAGGTAGCATTTATCATGAAAAGTATATATTGTCAATTCGGAGCAGTTTTTGATAACAAATTAAAAAAATGATTTTTTCGCGAGTCCACGGTGTAGCACAGTGCACTACAGGAAACCGATACTCAAATTTTCGCGAAGAACGCGCAACATGCGCTATCTAACCACTCCCGGTGTAACTTGAAACTGTCAAAACTTCGAGGAAGGGGAAATTCCATCTGTTCTCGCTCCGGTTCACTACGGGATCTCGCGAAAAAAATCTCTAAAATGAACCATGAGAATTACAAGTGACAGAGCTCTTATTCCCAGAGTTTGAGATCGGGAAGAAAGGCATACTTTTGACGTGCCAGAAGAATTACTTTTTTCTATTTCCGAACGCATGTAACAGGTACGTCAAACAACTACGAACGCTAAAATTGTTACAGAGTAGTACAAAAGTACACTCTGTAACAGTTTACAAACGCGGCCCAGGTATATGTATACTTTATTCCTAAATGAATACATAAAACCGTAATGAAGTACACACACTCTCTTAGCCTGTGCGGTCCCTCTACCACCCTCGTTTCAGGCAACCTCAACGCTTAAGGAGTGGCTTGGGGTGAGGCTGCGTGGCTCGAATACTGCACAGTTTTTCCCCGAGTGTGTGCTGCCGAGCGAACTACTCCCTAATTTTGGCCCTTTTTCCTAAAATAGCTCTTTTCACGTCGACTGGAGTCAGTCAGTCAGTTCGGATTTTGTTTTCGTCTCCTGAGGTTAGCCTCGAGTCTGTGCTTGACACGGGCTGTTCTTTCCCCTCTTGAGCGTATAACTATTGTCTGTCTTCTCCCCTTTTCACAGATCAATTCTGAAGCATCTAATAGAGAAATATATTAATACATATTATTATACAGGGTGACTTTGAAGTTGAGTCATTAATTTTCAGATAATGATTGTAGAAGGAAGATAAACCAAAATATGTGTGTAAAAATAAAAAAAAATTATTTTACCTTGTTTCATAAAGTATCCTCCCGACAAGTATTTCAGTGCGGACCTGTATTTGATCGTGAGGTCCCCTGTGAGGTCTTAAGTCACCTGATTCACGAGCTAGTTGTACTACATTAACAAAGGCACGAGGGGTTGGTTGCACTCGATTGGGAAACCGATCCGCATAAACATGTGCCATTTTTTATTTCGTTTGAGCCACGCAACAGACACTATTCACACGCGACACTGACACTGACTGTATCTATAACTGAACTGAATAAAATAATAAACTGTACACAAACATCGTTCCAAATTCTTTCGCTTTTTTGTTTCCGATGCGATGAACCGGTAAGGCGGATTATATCCGTTGTTGCCAAACACGAGCACATGATATTGAGACAGCGCGGTACTCAAACTTCCAAAGGGCTATAACTTTGTTACTTTAATTTTACCAGAAAAATGGTAAAGGAAAAAAACATTTCTTTTGATCAGATCTATTCACTGTTAAAATAAATGACTCAACTTCGAAGTCACCCTGTATATAACTTGCAGTTCCCATTCAAGTCTCAGATTCAAAATTATTAGATCGCAGTACTTCTAACAGGTCAAATAATGGAATAAAATATATTTAGAAAAGGATATGTACATTTCATTATAAATATACAAAAATACATTACACCTAAATTTAAAGCGAATAATATATCTCCTAAGCTAAATACAAACGCTAGCGTATAAAATAAGTAAAAGACAATTTCAAAAAAAAAAACTGTAGTGATGCTATAATAATAAAGAAATAAAATTGAGTTATTTCAGAACTGAAATGGTCTACAGAAATGGTATCCATTTACGTATATTTCAGATTACAGGATTTCAAAATATTTGGTTTGCAATTTCAACAGCATTCCCTGACACTGTTTATCATATTACTATGACATATCACTGCTTTTTGTTTGAGCTAACAAAGCTTGACCAGACAGATTTATTCATTTTATATATATCTATATTATGCTTTGGTAATAGACAAATGTAACTATGTGATATACATATATTACTTGTCCTAGAATAAGTATTTTAATATTTTCATTCAATTTTTTTTCTCATGCCTTGAAACTATACTTACATTATCAATAATAACAAATTTAAAAATCCACAGGCTTCTGCAAGAAATATGAAGTTGAAATTAAATAAAACGATCAAACTTTTAGATGGTAGACGGTCACCGACTGTCGAACGCGGAGGTACCACCCGGCGGATCTCGTAGGCGTTGCAAGAATGTGTGCATGTTGCATGAACACGTGTTCCCTCGCCAGAGTCCGTGTGGCATCGCCCCTTTCCCCTATATCCTCCTATAGCCCCACGGTACTCCATGGGTGTTTAGGCCGTAGGCCTTCGTGTTAGTTGGAGTATAAAAATATCATAAAACTTATTTATATATTTTAAGTATTTTTATTGTACTTCACAGAAAATAAAAGCTGGTTTTAATAGTCCGACTTGTTCTTTCAGAAACCTGAGAATATATTCTGGGAATGATTCCACAAGTAAGATTCAAGAAGATACTACATTGATGACAATTATAATGTACAGTTGATTAACGCATTCTATCTGAACATAGTCAACCTAATACTATATACCCACGTCCAAAGAATCAGGCGAGATGAAATGAGAATTTAGATTTAGATGGCGCTGAAGCAAAATATATGCCACATGCTAATATTGTTTGGGCTACAGCGCCATCTCTGCAAAGCAGATTTCTAATTAGTGCAGAAAGGAGAAACATAGCTGTGACAAACAAAGTCCTAGAGACGACCAGACGACGTCACCACGCTCGGATATCTCATTTCACCTTGGATATTTATTTGGGTGCGTGGATATAGTATTAGGTTGGCTGTCTTCTGATAGAATGCGTTAATCAGTGGGTAACAGTTAAAATATATATCGTTTTGTATTTATAAATTTAAAACTGGCAGTTTAATATGTTTTATGAGACATTCAGAAATGAGAGTAGGATGTAGTCAGATATTTGCCTAACTCAACAAAGAACAATGAAATATGTGTTTTACTTTTATACATCTGATTTTGATTACCATATATTGCATTGTATGAAGATGTAGGTAATCTCAATTGCAATTGTCCTTACTGTTGTATTAAGATCCTCTGACTGGATTATAAAATGTCCATACTGGTAGAAACTAATATAATATATATATATACATATATATATATATATATATATATATATATATCACAGATAAATATTATCTAAACTCGTAGTCTTAGGTACAGGATTCTGGTACCCTGTTTTTCAAATTTTAGGCCATCAAATATCAAAAGTCAAGTCATTGCTCCAATTAAGTTCTCAACTTATGATATTCAATTAACTTTGTTAAAACCAACCTCCTGTCACCGATAACTAATGTAGTTAATAAAGTAACTGGGGTAATATTCACAATCAAAGTACTTTAAGTAAGTTTGCTCTCCATGACATAAGACAGTATCATAGTCTTCATCATAATAGAGATCTGGAAGAGAAACTTCTGCACCCTCAGGGACTGTCAAAACTTTACTTATCAACACATCCACCATGAACATAGATCTATCCAAACTCCGGCTCCTGGAAGAGTGTCGATTGGCCAATGTTGGTGAGATGCTGAAGTAAACCCCTGAAAAACAATAAATCTGTCTACCTGGTACCTAAACAAGCAATCAAGATACCAACAAATAAGATAGTAAATTCAACATACAGGAAAAACCGCATCTAGGGCCAATTCCTTAAAGATTACCACTTTTAAAACATTTTCCAATCGGAATCTGATAAGCACATGCAAGGTGATATCAAATGATTTGTGATTCTAAGGAATTTATTATATGTTTGAGCAAAAGAAATTGATAATAAGTATAGAAAATGACGCTGATTTACTAGGTACCAAGAACCAAATATGCCTGCAAGTGTGCTTAGCAGGGAATAATCTTCTATCGGCTAAGAAAAATATTTTGATTTGTTTTTTTTTCTTATGTTATTTAATTGAATCTACATTTTGTTAGGCCCAAAATACATCAAGAACGGCTAAGATTTTTTTAAACAAATTCCAAATTTGTGTTTGCTCTAGATAAAGCTTTTTAGGCTTTTTTGGGTCATTCTGAACAAAAAAGATTCTGAGCTTTTATCTAAAGCTGATAGTTTTCACGATATAAGTAATTTAATATTTGAAAAAGTGGAAATTATGTCTGGAAATATACTTTTTCTCAACCCAGACATATTTTTAAAACATCCAATGACAAAATCCTAAAGCATTTCAGGGGGTTTGTTTTTATAAATTCCTGTTTTCAACTATCTCACACAAAGACAGAATATGAATTGAGCACATGCTTGATTACATTTTTTTATATTGTTTTTTGAATTCCAAAATGCCTCATTTTCATATGTTAAAAAATATTAAATTGTTTATATGTATCTCAAAAACTAAAAACTTCAGAGAAACGCTCATAAAGACCTTTTTTGTTCAGAATCAGTCAAAAAATTGCAAAAATCTAAATTCTGTACCAGTCCGGACTCCGCAAAAAATTTGGCTGAAAAGTGAACAAGCGGAGTTTTGTTGATCTAGTTGGTATTAACGCTATATTCTATGTTCTATTGATTTTTTATTTTCCACACATAAGCCAGAAAATTAATTTCTGTTTGTTTTTAATTTTTATACTATCAAAGAATCGTGTCTAAAAAATGACAGACGGAAAAATGTAAATTTAATATAATTTAAATTATGAAGAGTTTGGTCCATACTCCAGCTATCATTATTATCTATGTCTATTTTGTCTCCGAAGTCCCTGTATATAAGCACTTCAGTGCTTTTCGTTCGTCCGAGATGGCAAATTATATATTTAGTTTTTGAAAATCGCGTGAAATTAAGAAATCTTGTATTCCAAACAGAAAAGGTTCTTTGTTATGAGATACGTGAATGCGTGGAAACCAATTATGCCGTTTATTTGACAATATTTGTGTAACTTTTAGTGCTGGTTGACGGCTGCTGTTGTCAGGCTGAGTAAAAGGTTTCCTTTCTAAAGAAAACAAACCGTCTGATCCACCGGCACAAGAATTACCAGAAAAAACTGATGATAATTTTACAATTCAACCTGAGCTTTCCACTTCAAAATTTCTTGATGTTGCACTGTCTGCTGAAATAAGTGTTGAAAATCGTGTGCGAAACCTAAAGGATCCAATTTTGTTGATGTTGCGCCATATATAAATTTCAGCTTGTCTTCCCATGAAAAATATACCTTATTGATGTGCGCAATGATCCCTAATAACTCTTTCAAATATCCCTATTCCACATACTTGAAAAATAATAAAGAAGTGAAATGTTACTTATCAAAAAAACCCTTTGAGAAATTTCCTATTCAGATGAACTACAACGGCTTTTCTGTAAATATTGCGTGGTTTTTGCAAAATTAGGATCAACTAAATTGGGAAAACTTGTTACCATACCACTAAAGAAATTTTCGAAATTGTATGGCAAAACCGGTGATTGTGAGACAGATGAGAACTCAATATATCATACAGAAGCAGTTTCAGATGCTACAAACGTTTTAAAGATTTACGAAAATCCAGAGAATGACATAAGAAATATAATAGGTTCAGAGCGAATTAAGCAAGTATCAGAAAATCGGCAAAGATTGACTCCTATAATAGAATCTATAATTTTGTTAGGACGCCAAAATATACCACTTACAGGGCAGAGAGACAGGGGACGACTTTTTTTTAATGACAACACGAATGACGAGGATGGCCTTAATAATGAAAGGAATTTTTTTAGAGAACTAATACGGTTTAGAGTCGAGAGCGGCGACAATTTATTGAAAAAAAAACTTAGAGTACTCAAAATCGCATGCTACGTACATAAGCAGCCGCATCCAAAATAAAATTATAAAATGTTGTGGCGAAGAAATCTTGGATATAGTTTAAGTCGCGTCAGGCAAAGTCAGTATTATAGTATTATATTTGACGAAACTACAGACATCAGCCATAAATCAGAAATGTCAATCGTATTGCGGTATTGTTATAAAAAACATATTTACGAGGATTTCATGGAATTTGTGGATTGCTACTCAAATTTTGATGAAGATACAATGGAGGAATAGAGCCCAAACTCCCAGGTCAAATTCTTGCTCAAACAGTCAAGCATTTCATTAAAACCAATAACTTAGACTCAAAACTATGTGTGGGCATTGGTGTAACCTAATGTTAGGTGAACAAAAGGGCGCTGTAATGGAATTGCAAAAATGCTTGCCAAATGCTCTAAAAAGTCCATGGGCAAATCATGCCTTGAATCTTTCGATTTCAAAAAGCAGCAGTGTCCAAGCAGTAAGAAATACTGTAGGTATAATGTAGGAAGTAATTGCGTTCTTCAAAGCATCCGCTAAAAGAAATACAGTATTAAAAAGAAAACTATGGATATCAAATTATTACAGGGTGGCGCAGAGGAAACGCATGTTTTCTGAGTGAATAGTATTTTGCAAATAGAAGTAGGTTGACTGTGCCTCACCGCCAGCAGAGAACAGAGGCAATGCAGTTTTGGCCATGGTACCGACGACAACTGAGTATCGCGTGTTTGACGTCGAGCAATTTTTGAACATGTGATTTCCCATTTCGGCGATGTTCCTTGGCATCGACGCTCCCCAGATTTGTCTGCATGTGACTTCTTTTTGTGGGGTTACCTTAAGGCTAAAGTGTACCCTCACAAACTCCGTACGTTACAGGAACTGAAAATTGTTATTCGTCAAGAACTCGCAAGAATACCACAAGAAATGATCCTACGTGTAATGCACAACTTTCAAGAGCGGTTGAAGATGTGCGAGCGCGAAGAAGGGCGACACTTGAGTGACATAATTTACCATAATTAATTTAAAAGTGCATTATTATTACTTTATTTAGCTATAGTTAAAATAAAATTATCTTAAACATTAAAAATGTTTTACTTACGTGAAAATCATGCGTTTCCTCTGCGCCACCCTGTAGTACATATGTCCGAAACACGATGGAACGAGAGACATGATTCTGTGCTCCAATTTGAAAGCAAATTCGAGAAAATTATAGAGGTACTAAATAAATATTATATCAAATTGGAACGACCGCGAAGCTTCTTCAAAAGCGGAGTCAGTTGTACAAGAAAGACGCGCAAATGCCGAAAAACACTTTAGAATATCTATAATGAAATCACATGAAACCCTGGGTATTGAACTGACTGTGCGAAGAATAACAAGCAGGCAAATGAACAGACCGAACATAGTTACGTCTGACAAGGAAAATCATTACACACTGAACCTATGTATATGTCCCTTTACTAGATAATATATTACAGGATTTGCTATATCAGTTCAATGAAGAATCTTTGAATATATACAATTTAAATTTTTTCTTTGTGTCAGTATTTCATTCAGAAACTGAAGCTGAAGTAATGGACATATTAGAAACAATCTCTAAATATTTGCTTGGACTAAATAGTAACAAAAACAAAAATTTCATAAGTACCAGATTAAAAGCAGAATTTGACCTTTGGAAGGCACATACACAACATATTATAGACAGTGGAATGTCTCTGTATTTATCATGTGATGAAAACATTTTTCCTTAAATTAATAGAAAATTATTATTGATTTCATTGCCGGTAAGTGATGCGACATCTAAAAGAAGTTTCTCCCATCTAAAGAGGTTAAAAACTTGGCTGTACTCCACTATGTTACAAGAGCGATTAGTGGGTTTAGCTCTTTTGTATATGCATAGGGATATTAAAATAGACGTGAATACAATCATAGATCGGTTCACCAGCAAAAAGAAGGCTCCTTGATTTTGTAATATGATAACACCTGAACTTCTCTAGGGTTGTCTCTCAAATCCATCTCCCTTCTGTTGGCCAATAAATAAAAAAGCAGATGTAGTTAAGGGTTAACTTACGTTTAAACCATGGTGGTGATCTTTTCCAAAGTATCCAATCAAGATATGTGGTTTTATTTATTGGCCAGCAGATTGATATAAAAGTCTGTTCAAATCACTTTCTGAGCTAATGTAATGATTGTTTTATTTTGAGACTGTGAACTGATGTAGTTTCATAGTTTATGTTTTTGTTTTTCAAGACTGGCTAAGAGAATGTAGTTATGCATTGAATATTTTTTGTGTTTTTCTCATGATTAAGAATTTTATTTTGATTTACACTCAGTTTTATACTTTATAGAGGTCGAAACATATTTGATATTTTTTTGTTTTGTCTGACATGGTTATGTAGAAAAGTCTGGGCTAGATTGTATTATTTTGCATGTTTGTTTTAATATATTATGAAGATTGCTCGAGCTTGGTTTGCTTTATTTACACTTTGATTTTGTATGATTCAAAATTAAAAAAAATTGTATTTTCTACAGAAATTAACGTAACAAATTCATATGTCTGCATATGTCCATGCTTTTAATGTTAAATCATTATAACACTTCAGTACGTCACACTGAGAATTTACTTTCCATTTTACCCCTCCCAGACTGAAATCCTGGGAGTGCCACTGTTTCAGAGGAGAGGCAAAGATACTACCTGGACTATTTAAAATTCTCATTAAAATGTGCAAACGTTTTATAAAAAAGGGCATCTCAAATGTTTGACCGACATATAGCTGGTTTCTTTTCCCCAGGAACAAGTAATACTACAATAATTCATCTTAACATAAACTTGTCTGATTGCAAATGTTGAACAGACCAAATAGTACACATGATAAAATGGTTTGGATCTTTGTGAATAATCATGTAAAATAAAATGAAACCACACCTGGACCATATTTGTATCTTCTTCCACAACGCCAGTCAAAGTTATTCTTGCAAATAGATTCTGTGTTTTCTATAGGTGTGTCATGAAAAAGGGTTCTGACACAACAACTCTCCTTCTTTCTGTATTGCTCCAACCGCAGACTAAACTTCATGTAAGCTAGAGGGTTTTGTACCCTATATAAGCCTTTAATGTTGCAAGTATAATCTCCAAAGAAGCGATCTATCAAACAAGTGTATTCAGGTGTATATGGAAATACAGGAACAATGGCATATGATGCTGATGAGAGGTCCATTTCTGTCCATGTTTGAGGATATAGGTACTGTTGTAAAACAATATTTCTGCATTCAGAAGCATTATTTTGATACTGCCATGGTAAAATGTAAGAGGGATCTACATAACTCATCATAGTGTCTAAATAAAAAAAAGCTCAATTCGTGAATTCTCAGTTGTCATTCCAAAAAATAGGCAGTATTTTGTGTCGTTTCTAATCTCGGGCTTCCGAGTATACTTATATTCACGATGATTCCCACAGGATAGATCTCACTAGAATATCACTATAGGCATGCCGCATTATTTCCCAAGTATTCTCCTGCTCTCCTCCAATTTTATCCTCTCACATTTCTCAAATATCAACAGAATATATATTCAAGTTCCACAACCCAATAAAAGTAAAGCGCACAAATGTAGGTGATGATGATAACTGTCACCAACTGTCACAACACAAATGTCACAATCAAAAGTCAAAATACATAAGGAAAAAAGGCACGGAGCACAGACAAAATTATAATCAAATCCAAGCGGATAACCAAAATTTCCGTATTATGTACCGCGGTTATAATATGGTTCAAGATGACACACGGGATGGTGACGTCAGTTACTCGAATCGCTTGAACGCGTTGGTTTTAACCGCGGTTTGTTGCAAGTTGTTTATTTTAGAAAAGCGCGTATATAATTTCTGATTATTTTTATTATTACTTAATAATCGGTGCTTTTTCGTCTACAATGGGATATGGAAAGTTGAAAAAAAGAAAACGTTCATAATATTAATGGGAGGAATGTTTTTTTCCGAAAAAAAATTTTACTGATGGAACCATGGCTTTGTAGCTATAATAACTTTCAATTCTCTAAAATTTTCCGCATGTCAAAGAAAATCTGTATTAATTTAGCAGAAATGATGAAAAAGCGATGAAAAAAGATATTAACAAAACCGTATACAGGTGGACATCATCCAGTGAGTTTATACGGCCATATTTTAATATTCTTGTGGTATATGGCTATACAGGATACTTTTTTAAGTGTAGGAACTAGATTTAAAGTGTCCCCAACAACAGTGATGATTATAAATAATAAGGTGCTCTCTTATGCTAAAACTTAAGTCAGCCTATATCAGGTTTCCCAAAAATGAAGCTGAAGTACAATAAAAATATCCAATACCCGGCAAAATTCTAACTTGTCACATGTCAAATAATAACCAGAAATATAAAACTACTCCGGAGTTGGGTAAATACCACAATTTTGCGGTGATAACTATGACATATAACAGCTGATTCATGACGTCACGGATGTTATAACCAAACTGATAACCACACTCGCTTGAACGGATCGGTAAATACCAATCCAAAATGGTAAATACCATTTCCATTTGGTTATCCGCTTGAATTTGATTTATGTATACATAAGAGGGCGGGAAATCATATTAAGTGGGTTATAGACTTGTTTTTTTTCTGACAGTTTTACCCTACATTATAACCGTGGCTGCGATTCTGAAAATCCGAACTTTTCGTCTGTGAACGGTCAGATTGAGCACTCAAAAATGTGTTGGTTACTTGTGATCCTTAAAGCTTAAGCTATATCTTAATATATAACAGTCTGAGAAGAGAGGCTTAAAAATAGCGTCGAGTAGATTTACTCTATACTTCTCACGCCGTCGAAACAACTTCTAATACAATTTTATATGTAGTGCAGTGCCATCAAAAGGTTGTAGGTTTTTGGGGGAACCATTCATGCAATATTTGAACTTTTCATAAAAAATGCACGACAGCCTCTTTTCTTTCTGGCGTAAACTTTTTGTTAACAATGTTTGATTATTATTATTATATACAGGGTGACTTTGAAGTTGAGTCATTAATTTTCAGATAATGATTGTAGAAGGAAGATAAACCAAAATATGTGTGTAAAAATAAAAAAAAAAATAAAAAATTTTTTTTACCTTGTTTTATAAAGTATCCTCCCGACAAGTATTTCAGTGCGGACCTGTATTTGATCGTGAGGTCCCCTGTGAGGTCTTAAGTCACCTGATTCACGAGCCCGTTGTACTACATTAACAAAGGCACGAGGGGTTGGTTGCACTCGATTGGGAAACCGATCCGCATAAACATGTGCTATTTTTTATTTCGTTTGAGCCACGCAACACACTATTCACTGACACTGACTGTATACAAATGAATAAAATAATTGTAAAAACATCGTTCCAAATTCTTTCGCTTTTTTGTTTCCGACGCGATGAACCGATACGGCGGATTATATCCGTGGGTGACTTCGAAGTTGAGTCATTTATTTTAATAGTGAGTAGATCTGATCAAAAGAAATGTTTTTTTCCTTTACCATTTTTCTGGTAAAATTAAAGTAACAAAGTTATAGCCCTTTGGAAGTTTGAGTACCGCCCTGTCTCAATAATAATATTATGTGCTCGTGTTTGGCGACAACGGATATAATTCGCCTTATCGGTTCATCGCATCGGAAACAAAAAAGCGAAAGAATTTGGAACGATGTTTTTACAATTATTTCATTCAGTTGTATACAGTCAGTGTCAGTCGGTAGTGGATAGTGGTATCTGTTGCGTGGCTCAAACGAAATAAAAAATGGCACATGTTTATGCGGATCGGTTTCCCAATCGAGTGCAACCAACCCCTCGTGCCTTTGTTAATGTAGTACAACGGGTTCGTGAATCATTTGACTTAAGACCTCACATATGGACGGCATGCCGGTGCTCCAAGACCTCACGATCAAATACGGGTCCGCACTGAAATACTTGTCGGGAGGATACTTTATAAAACAAGGTAAAATTTTTTTTTAAATTTTTTTTTATTTTTACACACATATTTTGGTTTATCTTCCTTCTACAATCATTATCTGAAAATTAATGACTCAACTAATCCCCATCAACTGCTGGGCGGAAGTGAGCGGTTTCCGAGATATCGGCATTTCAAGATTTTTTAAGAATTTTCTGCTTACTGATCAATACAATTTTTTTTTAAAATCTACTCATTCTTGGAACTGAATTGATGGTTTTCTGAGAGCTGTGAAACTAGCAAATAATTGAGATAAAAATGCTATACCAAAAGTTTGAAACTGTTAGAAATAAAGAGTGGACCTCTCATCAGCATCATATGACATTGTTCCTGTATTTCCATATACACCTGAAGAGATTTTCATTTTTGTTTATTATTTCCGAAAATCAACATAAGTTATTTGAAATAAAATGTATGACAGTCGGCGTACAAATTACAAAAATAATTACAGAATTTCATGAGCTTTCAAAGACAGTACAAATTTAACTTTTTCAGGCATATCCTAAAAAAAAATGTTACTGTAGCGTTTTTCTGGGTTCTTTTGGGTGTGGATTAAAACACTGGATTCCACAAAATGAAATGCACTAATTTATTTAACTGGATAAAACATTTATATACACCACTATTTTTGCCTAACTAATTCTTATGTCGCGCCACTGACTGGACATTTCACTCTGCTCTACTCTACCGTATTCCATATTCGCTGCCCAATCTCCCGGCCGCCGAGTTATATATAGTTCAATTACCGCTGCGAGAACAGGTAGGTGTTATGTGTCATGTGTCGTACACCAACCGTGAGATCTGAACATGCAGGCGATATCGCGCCTTATAGAGCATGTTTTGTGTATAGTCAAATGCCAGAATTGATTCCAGTAGCAGAAGTCATCGTGCGCCACTGCTTTGATGCGGTACCTTTTGATTACAGCGACGGTTGCCGACATTTCAGATTTCACAAAGAAGCGCCGCATTTTCGAAGGCCTCCGCATAATAGCAGTGGCGTACGATGCGTTTCGCTACTGCCATCAATTTTGGTATTTTACTATAGTGATGTGATGATGCATGCTATTTTCAAAGCGTTCTCGTACTAGACATAGTGACGTGATGCGTGATTAGTTTATTTTTTGTAGTAATGATCGTTTTCAATGAACTGATTGATTTATCGGGACATTTAGTGTCCCGATTAGGTGCAAATCGGGACACGTCTCCAGACCCCTGAAAATCGGGACGTCCCGCGCAAGTCGGGACACCTGGCAACACTAGTGACAACATACCAGAAATTGAATGCCTGTATACCGGAAGACTACCTCAAGCATGCTTCAGATGATTCTCCAGTCCAGGTTCTCCAGTCCACAAGCCAGCTTAGGTATTGCCAGTTTTCTTAGGCCCTCGGCAAGCAAGACTTCTCTAAACGAACACAAAGCGTTCCAAACATCTTTGTAATTCGGTTTGTGATACCATCTTCAGTTATCGGGAGTACTTCTCCGACTTTTGGGTCAGATTGTCGCAGCTCGTGCACTCTTCCAAACTTCCTAAGAAAGACCTTTGCTATACCTCTCGACATTCGCAAGTCTTGAGCCACACAGTGTGCTAGGGCATACCTTGGTGAAGTGGTAAGCAGATCTTGCTGTATTTCACATGTCACGCCATACCGACTCTAATGGCCATTAGCATGGTGAGCCATAAATTGGTCGAATGTCATGTCAGGTTGGATGTTCTGGTTGGATTTGCCGCACTGCCGCATCTTCGTTGTTTCCATGATAAGGTGCAAGGCGGTTGAAATGTACAATTCGGGCTTTAATGCGTGGTGCCTTCTGAATCCTGTAGAGAACATCGTTTATGGCCTCCAGAACATTGTATGGCCCGACCCAGGATGATTGAAGTTTAGGCGACAGCCCTTTTCGCCTCTTTGGGTCGTAAAGCCAAACCGTATCACCTTTGTCATACCTCTGGTCTTTGGCATTAACGTCATAAGCTTCCTTCATCCGGTCACTGGCACCTTGAATTGAAACACGAACCTGATGGCTATGGATGGCGTCCATCCTTCTACGCAGCTCACTTACGTAGTCTTCTCCGGCAATATCAGTTCCTGGTGGACAGCCAAACTTTAGATCGCATGGGAGACGAAGTGCTCTTCCCATAACTATTCGAGCCGGGGTCTGTCCTGTGCTCTCATGAATCGACGATCGGTAAGCCTATAAGAAGAGGTGAATAAAACTATCCCAGTCTCTTTGATGGCTAGAGACTACCTCAGCCAGATACCGGTTAATCGTCCTATTCTTGCGCTCCACCATTCCATCTGACTGCGGGTGTAAGGCTGTAGTCCTGGTCTTCTTAATCCCAAGAATTTGACAGATACTTTGGAACAGATTTGCGCCTTTGGTCCGAATACAACTCTAAAGATACACTAAATCGACAGATCCATTCCTTTACTAAGGCATCGGCTACCGTAGAGGCTTCCTGATTTAGCAGAGCGTATGCCTCAACCCACTTGCTGAAGTAATCCATTACCACAACGATGTATTTATTTCCAGCTTCACTTTCTGGAAAGGGTTCCGCCACATCAATAGCAATCCTTTCAAACGGGCTCCCCACGTTGTATTGGCGCATCGAAGCTTTTGGTTTCCTTTGTGGTCCATTACTTGCCGCACACACAACGCATTTCCTGCACCAGCACCAGTATTTCACGGCATCCTTGCTATTGACCCAGTAAAATCTTTCCCTCACTTTTCCCAGGGTTTTTGTAACTCCGAGATGACCTCCTGACACACCGGAATAGATTTCTTCTAGCAGCTCCGGGATCCGACATCTGGGGATAACGATTTGTCTTCTTTCCTCTTTGCCATCTTGGTCCACCATTTTACGCAGCAAGAGTCCGTCGACCATAACGAGAGAAATCCATTGTGCCCAATATGATTTTATGGTAGGGGAGTACTTGGCAACTTCTTCCCGTTTTTCTTTCATCCAGTTTAGAATTATTTGAAGATCGGGATCTCCCTCTTGGACTTTACTGAGGTCTTCATTTTGCCAGGTATCACTAATGATAGTGGTTCTCAATACTTGGGCATCTTTCTCCTCTGCCCGCGTTGTACCATCAAATTGAGGCGGTTTCATTCGCAGATGATCAGCTGACCCAAAGCTCCAACCTCACTTGATTTTTCCAACGGAAGTCCACGCTGTCGTTCGTCGATGGTCTTGACATCTAAAGCGGCAAACTTGCCTTGCACTTGAATTCTGCTCTCCAAAGTTTCTAAAATCCATTTTTCCAGCTCGCAAGATTTTTCCATAATTTTATCTTCCAATTCTTTCTTTAAATTGGCAGTATTTTCCATAAATTTCTCTTCTAATTTGGCTGTACTTTTCAAGAGTTTTCCGTCTAGGTTAGCACAATTTTCCACGAGCTTTCCTTCTAGGTTGGCGCAATTTTCCACGAGCCTATTTTCTAACTTAGCTGAGTGTTTCAAAAGATCGGCACAATTTTCCAAGAGCTTGTTTTCTAACTTGGCTGAGTTTTCTAAGAGATCTGCACAATTTTCCGTGAGCTTGTTTTCTAACTTGGTCAAAAGGTTTTGCAGCAGTAAACTTATATCCCATGCATCGGTAAAAATGAAAGTATCCGGGATTCTGCTTTCCTTCCCGTCGTTTCGCACTCTCTTTCCTCCAGGTCTCTCTTTAAATCCGCAATTTTCAAATCAACCAATCGCGCCATTCTTCCTTCACGGATCGTCCGATTTATTTTCACTAAATGTCCTCAAATCACCACCCCACACCTGACACCAATGTAGCGTTTTTCTGGGTTCTTTTGGGTGTGGATTAAAATACTGGATTCCACAAAAAGAAATGCACTAATTTATTTAACTGGATAAAACATTTATATACACCATTTATGTATAACTAATTCTTATGTCGCGCCACTGACTGGACACTTAACTCCGCTCTACTCTACCGTATTTCGTACTCTCTGCCCAATCTCCCGGCCGCCGAGTTATATATAGTTCAATTACCGCTGCGAGAAAAGACCACAAAGCGGTATCTAGAACGTTGGAGAGCACTTCGCGACGATCCACTGTCACGGTCCTCACACCCGCCGCCAGATGGCTGGTGCGGTCATGATTCGCGTAACAGTAGAGATCGGCCATGAAGCTCTAGCGAGTAGGAGACTCGCCCAACAGATGGCGCCGAAAGTATGATGTGTCACAGTACAGAGGGTTCTGTAGATACAACTAATTTTTTAAATTAAATGAGCTCCGCAAAGTTTGAAATCTAATTAATTAAAGAAAAACAGGTACTGTATAAAGAATTAATGAAACAAATACAGCGTTGGGACTTAAAAACTATAAATCTTGTTCAAATTGCCTGCCGTTGTTACGTATGCAAGTACGTAGCCTACGACGTAGTTGGGTCACTGTTACTTTTGTTGAAAGAGTGCGTTTCATCTCGTCGGTGGTTGCCAAAATCCTCTGCCTCAAATCTTCGATATCTGCAACGGATGTATTGTAGACTAATTGAAAGGGTCAGTGCAAAAAGTGGCTAAGTCACATTTTTTAAGTTTGGAGATATGACCATTTGAATGTTGAAAGAGTCTCCCACATCCACAAAATTTATTGATAATGACTAGTAATTTTTTTCATGTCAACTACATGTTCAATGGACATACTGACTTACACTATGATGTGAACTAGCGATTTGATTACGAGGAAAAAAATCTGAAAATTTGGACTTAGCCACTTTATGGTCGAAAAATTAATACAAAAGTATAAAACGTGAAAATTATTACTTTTATTTCACTTTATTACAGTGTTACATAACAAAAATAGTATTATTTTTGTATACCATTTATCGAAAAATAACATCGACACAAAAAAAATTCTAAATTATGATGAAAACCACATTTCACAAAAACCAAAAAATACAACAAAACAAGGGTCATCATCACTTTCGATATCACCCTCAGTGTCATTGCTCCTGGGTATAGCCATATCAACTGCGTTAATAAGTGTTCTTCTGTAGAACTCAATATCACCGGAAGTTACTAGTTTTAGAAGTTTCGTGACTGACTGAAACTTTTTAGTTTTTATTGTCAGGTACCTATCGCCATATGCCAATTTGGGATTCGTAGATATTTTTCTGTTCATACCCACTTTATAGATGGACATATTTGTGCAATTTCCCGTCATGGATTCTCTCGTTTGAATGGATTTTCCAGTTCCAAACGTGACAAAACGAATTTTAGAAATTCCTGGGACGGAAACCTTGACAAATGGCATAATCCATCTTTTATAATCCTTTACTTGAATAACTCTATCGTCTGCAGCTAGATCTCAATTTGTTCGAAGGCTGTGTTGAATAAATACGACGTCAAACGGATTTTTCTTCCTACAGCTCTTGATAAGCTCAATGTAAGCCTCAGGATTGTCAACCTTATCCAGCTTCAGACTTTTTTTCTCTATTGCACCGAAGTCTCTATCTACTGGCATCATAGAATGTCCTGGAACTGGATACCATATTTCAATTTCATTGAAAGTGTTATTTTTACATAACTGATCTAGGAACGTGAAAATAATTCGATTTTTATTTTGGCTAAATGCATTGTCACAAAATATTTTTAGCTTTCTCTGTTGATGATCCTTGTTTGTCATAATATAATCATTCAAACATGTTATAACTTCATTTGGTCCTTTGTGAGCAAAGTTCTCAGTGTAAGTATACATTGTTGTTCTATGAGTTTTCAAGTTGTGAATGCCGAAAACGTGCAGCCATAACTGACTGACGTAATTTTCATCTTGTGCATTAGTTACAGTAAAGGCAGGTTCGTTTCGTAGTCAAAGCATATTATCATTTCTGAAGGATCTGCTGATTTCTGAACCTCAGCCAACTTAGTTTTGAACACCTCAGCTTTCCTGAGATGAACTTCTTTATTTACTTCCAGCGTCCGCAAAAGTTCTTGATCTGATTTCATTGCGGCTTGTTTTATATCAACTAGGAGTTTTGTGCAGGTATTGCATATATCCTTTCGCGGATGCGCAAATGATATATTAAATTTTTCGTTGAACACCTTAGCGAAAATCCCATATGATACAGTATCGTTAGGGTGTTGTGCGTTGAAATTTTCATGTAATTTAGTAATGGATAAGTTAGGGTCTAGATACTTTCTATTGCGGCTATCAGATCTTGTGTAATGTGATTCACGAGCTGGCAATTCGGAAATAAATTGTCTCACTTTCTGGAGAGATTCAGTTTTGGTTCTGTTTGGCCTGCTGGTGTGACGACCTCTATTATCTGCTGGTTCTGCCTGCGTCCTAACTTTCTTCTCTAATCTAGACTCCCGTGGACTGCTAAAAAGGCCTTCTTGCATAAATTAATTTTACTGCTTCCGTTACTAACTTCATAGGAAAAAACTGTACGACTTCGCGATGTTTCATCTTTACGCTGACGAGATCGGGGTTTTAGCTCTTTTTTAACACAACCTTGTAAGTAAATTGTTTGCTCTGCATGGCTAGACAGACTACAATATCTTTCAAAAATGTCAATCTGCTCCAATTCACTTAGTTTACAGCCACACTTACATCTGCAGTTGCCAACATCACGACGTTTATTTTTCTCTTTGAATAGTTTTTGTTTTTTCAAACTTCTTTTCCAGTTTTCTGGAGAGCGAAGCTTCTTTTTACCTTTCATTACATTTTCGAGATCTTCGTCAACACGAGCTGGATTATTGCCAATATTACCTGAGTCTAAGTTATCAGATATGTGTTCATTTTCGTTGAAAGAATCTGAACCAACCATCGCCAGATTTTTCTTGCGCCCATTATCTTCGTTAGGATCATATTCGCTCCCCGAAGATACTTCTTCGCTATAACTACTTGATTCTAGAAAGAAAAAAGTTGTATAATCTCAAAATCCTTGTCAGCATAACCAATACAGGCTAACATCTTACAACAATATAAATCATGATAAGAGGACTTGAACTTACCATTGTCAGACATTTTAGTATGGAACTCAAACAAAAACGTTATAACAAGCAAAACTGGAGCAGCAACAAGACACTTCTCTCAAAAGTTAGGTTATAAAACCTGAACACAGCATGCTAAGATGTCAAACTCAAAAAGTGGATAAGTCCGTGGACTTAGAAACTTTTTGCCACTTAGTTACTTCTTGCACTGAAATGATGATTGATTGCAATATCTACATAAGGGTTTCCATGCACTAGGACGCTTCTTTCCACAAATCTGTCATCACCAAAGTATTGTACAGGTAAATTTACACAGATGGAGACACTTAGCTCAATTTCAATAAAATGTGGACTTAGCTACTTTTTGCACTGACCCCTTCAATTGTTTCATGTGACACCAAATGTAAAAATCGCATACTTTTCATCCAGCTATTGTCGTACACCTCGAAAATAATTGGCTGGGCAGCCATCATGCTGGTACATCATATTGATTTTCCTAGCTAGCCGAACATCTTCTAGTAATGCATCTACTTAATTTCTTAAAAACTTTTCATAAGTGGTGCCATTTACATTGTCGGGCAAGAAAAAAGATCCAATCAATTTATTATGTATACGAGGGATAGTAGGCCGCGCGGATCAAACGTCAGTACTGAATCTTAACCTCACTCTTTAGTAAACCTAAATTCAAAGTTTCACAACAATATGTGCAGTGTTCTCACTACAGTAAATTTTTAAGTGTCACCAAGTCATGGAACTCAACCGAGAACATTTTCGCGCCATAATTTACTACAACTGTCAGAGACAATTATCGCAACAAGAATGCCTTGCTGAGTTACTGTCTGTTTTCTGCAACGAAGCGCCACATCAGTCGACAATTTCCCGTTGGTATGGAGAATTCAAACGTGGACGGGTGAGTCTTAGCGACGATCCCAGGGTGGGTGCACCAAAAACGGCAGTCACCCAGGACAACGTCGATGCTGTGCGCAAACTCATCATTGAAGATAGACATGTAACATATCGCGAGATTGAGGCGTCCTTGAAGATCTCAAAGACCTCAATTCAAAAAAATGTAAATGAAGAATTAGGAGTAAGAAAATTAGTTTCTCTTTGGATACCCCACCTGTTGACTGAAGAACAGAAAGCAGCCAGGGTTAATTGGTGTCAAAAAACGCTTGACCGTTTCAATTCCGGAAACTCAAAAAATATGTACAGCATTTTTAGTAGTGATGAATCGTAGATTTACTGTTATGAACCAGAAAATAAACGACAGTCGGCTGTTTGGGTGTTCCAAGGTGAAGAAAAGCCAACAAAAGTCATCCGTTCTCGAACTGCTTCGAAAAAGACGGTCGCGACATTTGTGTCAAAAGCGGGTCATATTGCAACAATTTCTCTTAATGAGCAAA